TTGCCTCAGTACAGATTGAGACCCAAGATTTTGGGGCTGCCTAGTGACTAGCCAATTTGCTACTGCAGTTCCTGATCTACATTGATAACAGAGTTAAGTTGTTTGCAACAAATGCAGTTCTTGAAGGAGTTTAATGTAGAATAGCTCAAGCAAAGGTTGTATTACAAAATGATGAATATTCTATGCATCTTTCTTTGTCAAATAAGATAAGAAAGAGAATTCTTAAAATCTATATAAATCCCATTTGATATCTGGAAGTGAATCTTGGACATCTGGGTGATCTGGGGGAAAAAATTATCTTGAAGTGGAGGAGTTGTGGTGTTATTGACAAGTGGTTAAGAATACCCTGGACACATAACAAAGGGTAATGATGTTGTCTTAAAAGAAACTGACCCATGAAGAGAAATGATCACCCACAACAGAAGGAGACAATCTACATTCTCTGGTCTTGTCCGAGAAGAAGAAAACTGGAGTTCCTCATAATGGTGGAAAAGTTAGAGGGGAAAAGATGCAGAGCGAGACCAAAAGAGAAGATGCTCATATGGTATTATGTTCATTACAGGATGTTCTAGGATTTGTTGTAGAATTGTTGAACAAGTTACTATAGTAAAAGGAAATGATGTATGTATTTGTTTAGTATCATAACATTTTTTGAATACATGAATCCAATACAGGTCAGAGATGTGACTCCTGCAAGCCAGGATTCTATGAGCTGGACACTGCCAACCAACAGGGTTGTAAACCCTGTGACTGTCACCCGGTGGGCAGTGAAGATGACCAGTGTGATCAAGTGACTGGTCAGTGTCGTTGTCGTGGAGGTGTTTTTATAAACAAAAACTGTGTAAGTAATTTATATACACATCATAGGGATCAATGAGGTTTAAAAAATTGAAGAATGTATGTGTATTTTGTAATTCCATGTACACAGACTTCAGCATCTTGAAAACAGCCGATGGAAGATGTATAAAAGAAGTTAAATCTAGAATGTCTCAAGCAAATGCAGCATTTCACAAAAGTAAGAATTTTCAATGCTTTCTCTCTTCGTTATTGGAGGTGAGAAAGAGAATTCTCTAAGATCTAAAAATAAACACTATATTTACAAAAGTGAATCATGGACAGTTGGCTGATCAGTTGCGACAGGGTATGTGGAAGCAGCAGAGGTGTGATTTTATAGACGAAATAATGATAACCACCTGGTTAGATTTAAAAAAATTAATGAAGATGTCTTGAAATAAATAAACTCACTTAGAGAACTGATTGCCTACAATAGAAAGAGACAATCTACATTCTTTAGTCATGTCACAAAAAGGAACGAACGAACAAACTTTATTTTCAAAGGGTCACAAATTGGGCACGCAGGCCCGTCTTACATTCGGCCCTTCCAGTTAACCATCTTTCGCACAGCAGTTGTATTTTACTAATAAAGCATGTTATGATCATATGATGATATGCATATTATGAATATTATTAAAAGACACAAAAGTATGAGTTGTAAAGTGCATGCGAAAAACCCGTTCGTGCATACACACACCCATATACATGCATACACACGCTCACCCACTCATTTACAGACAAATACATACATGCATGCACACATTACATACATACAGGCATACATACATGCACACATACATACAAACATACATAGATACAAACATACAGGCATACATACAAAATACAGGCATACACACATACATACATATATACATACATACAAACATACAGTCATAAATACAGGCATACATACAGTCATGCATGGGGACACACACATGCACACACGAACACTCCCAAAGAGACACACACACTCACTTAGACAAAAATACAGACACTCACACAGACACTTACATTTAAACACACACAGGGAAACACACAGCAGACATATATGCATTTGTGCTCACACACTGAGACACACACACACATATGCAGACAAACATGCAGACACATGCATACAGTCACATAGACACACACACAGTCAAACACACACACAAAATTACAGACAAACAGGCAGACAACCACATACTGACACCCACACAGACAAACACGCAGAAAGGCATACACAGACAAACACATAGAATTACACACGCAGACACATATATACAGTATGCACAGACATATAATCTGACATGCAGACACATACACACAACAAAGGGGCACACACAATACACACAGAGAAACACACATAGACATGCACACACAGACAGACACATGCTGACACATACACTCACACAGACAGACATACAGACACCCACACACATAGATACATACATACAGCCTCATAACACACCCATACACAGACAAACACACAGAAAAACACACACAGGGACACAAATGCAGAAAAACACACAGTCACGGGGAAATATGCAGATATACACACAGTCACATCAAATATGCAAACACCGAGACATACACACATTACACACACACAACAAAGAGGCACACTTAAACATACAGAAACACACACAGACCAATTCATACTGAAACATACACGTGGACATACGCGCAAACACACACATATTCGCACACATACACAAGCACACAGATGCATACATTCGCAGACACACATGCAGATACTCAAGCAGACAAACAACATACTCAGGATCATATGTATACAAACACGCCTACACATACATACATACATATCACACACACACACACGCGCCGAGCAAACATATCATACACACCTTGTTTAATAATAAGTTGTTAATGCAATATGGGTTACACTACATTCAAGGTGGCATATAATCGCTTGTAAGTATGAATTGAAAAAGTTTATAATTAAATCAATACTGGAGCACATCATGATAGTGGGCAAGTTGAGAAACTGAACAGCTGATGTCAGTGCACCAGAGGTTGGACGTCTAGGATGTAGTTTTACAGAATATTAAATGTGTCATTACCTGAACAAATAAAACATTTCAACTATTGGCATCTCAAATCTCATCAAACTGCATTCACAACCACTTGCATGGACAGCAGACAAAGTTCGCCCATCGGAATAGGCTAAACAAAATGGCTAGCCTTTCTCTGGACCCACGATCGACACTTGAGCATACATGCACTTGCTTGTAGATTCACTCTTCCAGCATCGCCAGATGCCGCTGTCTCAGGATCGAAAACAAGACTAAACTCTCTCGTTCTCCCATGGTTTTAATAGCTTCTTTCTTTTCCTCATGAACTTCAAAACTCTTCTCACACATTCCTCACTTGGCATGCTTCTGCCAACCTACAAAAACTTCACACTTGCCTCAATTTGACGCTCAGTTTGTTTACACATCTATTATGCTCATTAATTAATACCACCTAATTGAATTGTCATAAACAATTTATGATAATGAGATAACCTACCAACAAAAGAGAAAATGACCCCTTATATTTGCTAACGTCAGTTCTATCCCTGACAATGGTTACAATTTTAATCCCTCACTCCAAACGTATATGGCTGTGAAGTTTTGTGGGACATTGCAGTCTCATTGTTGTGTGGTCATCATTATTTTCTAGCTCACAGGTGGTGCCCCACATCAGGCTGGTCCAGAAAAGCAAAGTAATGCCGGTCAGCCCTCCAGATAAGGCAGGGGCAGAACACGTGCATTTTCCACCATCCTAGGAACCTTCAGTGAATGTAGAGCCAGTACAAGGTGTTCTGGTACTGGGCTCACCCAAGGAATCGTCACATCCTGCTCATGACTATTCAACCTTACTTCCATATATTGAGCCTCTGATTAATCAGTCTTCACCTTTAGACACCAGCAGGTGGCAGGCTGCAGACTTTGGATTTTTATTACCTACACAGAATGAACAGCACTACTGCCCTAGAGCAAGAGGCAGACCGAGAGTACGATGGATAGACAATATATCAGTGATCCTGAGGCAACACGGACTAACAACAACACGTGCAACACACCTGGCCCAGGATAGAAAACTGCGACTCCCCACTACGCTGTGAGGCAATTGTGGACAAGACAAGACAAGACAAGACACAGAATGAGTACTTTGCTTATTATGCTTGTTAGACATTTACTGCTGTGGACTGCCATGTCCACTATAGTTTCATATAGTGATTTATTTGACCAGCTTAACTCTTTGAGTCCCAGAGGGTTTAACATCACAGGCTCAAGGGGTAGTCAAGAGAGACATAAAATCGGCGCATTGTGCGTTCACTGGGCTTCTAGGCAGTAACCTGTGAACGTATGATGCGTTTCTTGGGACTCAAAGAGTTAAAGACACAAACGTTAATGTAGCAAAATACATTTATTAGATATTCTTAAAATAATACTGAGTACATGTTCCAATCACCAGACACCTGAGATCAAATCTATAGATCCTACATATGGACCCAGTGTTGGAGGTACACTAGTCACTATCACCGGAAATCTTCTGGGAAATAAAACAGAAAGTTTGGCTGTTTTTCTCAATGACACATCACAGGATTTGATTTTAGTGTAAGTATTCTTAAAGGTACTTCTTCCAGTTTGATATTGTGAATATACGGGTGATTAAGTATGAAAGTATTTTTTTCTTATTTTCTTTTGAATACTTATGTCAGTATTTTATCGTAAGCATTCTCAGTGTAGTTTTTTACAGTGTTAGGTTATATTTATTGAAATATTTTGACCACATTGAATGCCCAAAGGTTTCAAAAGAACAGTATTAGACAGTAAATGACTGCTGTGGCTAAGCTTTTGCAAATTTGGTTTGTAACTCTGAGATACCCTTTGATTCCTGCTGCAGGCATTTTGGCAACAGACAGCCTTGCATTTATTTCAACAATGGTATCACGAGCCAACCATTCAGGAGGAAATGAACATACAATTTGCCTTGTAAAATGAAAAACAGTCAACAAATACTAGGATTGATGTGCAGTGTCTTCCAAAGGATATGCAACTTTTAAATTGAGAGTATGATTCTAGAAAGCAGAGACTGTAGGAAACAAGCATGATGGTTGGCACCCCGGGTACAAAAGTCCTTGCTTTCTATCCTAAATTTATAAATAGTGGACATTTTCACTAGATTTGTCACAGTTACTATAGATTCCTGTGGTTATAAATGTAGGTGTAATTCGAAAATATTCCAGTTCTTGTATTTAACATTTAGCTGCTGTTGATAATGTTAACTGTTACTTGTTAACATATGTATGAATTAAATGATGTATGGAAGAAGGGAGATTAGAAAGGTGGAAAGTAGACATGTCCCTTTGCCCAATTCTTAACACTTTGAAAGTGGGAGCCTGAGTTAGCGCAATCGATAAGAGGCTCACTTTCAAATCCAGCTGCGACTCGCTGTAGCCACGGTGGGTGTTCAAAACCGGGCGGTTCGCGGGGTTCACCCAGCCTCTAGGAAATGGGTACCAGAGTTGACACTCTGGGGTAAATGGAGGAACGTCGATGTAGCTACAGAGTTGCGTGTGGACGGCGAACACAGGCGGACAATTCTTATCAGCTGTCCATACTGGTGGCATGGTTTATAACCGTGTGCAATGATGCTGGTTCACATCTCCTGACTTTACCTTTACCTTTTGAAAGTAAAGTGCATTTGTACGTTGTTTGTTTGCCCTTAAACAGGCAGTTGACATATGCTGTAGTTACAGCTAAACTACAACATCTGTACCTTTTGGTTCAGCATGTCCAATTTCAGCAAACCCTTGTTTAGTCACCTTGTACATCTATTTGTCTCCACAAATTGACCCCATCATCATGTATGTAGGTAAATTTGCTTGATACTTTATGCTGTGTATGAAGACTAAATTGTATCTAAAAAATTTTGTTTCTTTTACAGATCTGATATGATGGTGGTGTTTAAAACAACATCTCACAGAGCATTCTCACAGCTAACAACTCCAGTAAAACTTAGCTGGAAGGAAGACAGCAGAACTTTAATCACACCGACTGTATTTTCATATCAAGGAAATCCTGTGATTGACATCAGCAGAGCCCAGAATGTCACCACATTTATCAGGTATAGTTAGGTGTTGTCCTTGTTTTCAACACCATTCTATCTTTCCAGACGATAGTGTTAGTCTTAGTCTCAGTCTTAGTCGAGGTTTAAACATCACTGCAGTTGAGTTTCCCCATACTTGCTCAGTTCCTGTGCCAGTGTGAATTAAATTAAATGTCTCTCACTGTCCCATTTGAAAAACTGGTGAACAAACAATCAACTCTGCAACAGTCCAGAAATGCACATTTCAGTTTCCAAAGGCGTGAATAGCTATATTGGTCGCTACCATAAACGCAGTCTGTCATTGATGGAAGTAGTCGGGCACAACAAGTTGGTCATACACTTATAGAATTACTACATACAGTATTCCACCAGCTCTTAGGTAAACCGGCTACCAGCAATATTGAGCATCACAACTGCAGTAGCTCAGGCAGCGAAACCATAAACAATGGTCCACATCGTGGGCAAAAACAACCCCAAACATAACATTCTGCCATCCCTCTGCCATTTTTGGCTGGAAGTCCAACCAATATAACACAATATTATGTTATATACATAGCACAATATAACATAATATTGTGTTATATATATAGCACAATATAACACAAAACCGTATTATATGCATAGCACAATATAGCACAAAAGTATTGGAATCACAGCCAGTGGTGATGGTGAGTGAGACTAGCAAAACCAGCCTGCATTTAGACAATTATCTAAAGTTAGAGCATAGAATTTCAGGACCATCGCTGCTATCACACGTATTTAATGTGCTTCTTTTCAGACACTCCTCTCTTAATATTTCTGCAATCAGTTTTTTCCTTTCTTTTGATCCTCTTCCTGAATTTCCCCTTCTATGCAACACAGTCAGTGGCATTTTGTTCTCATAAATCTATCTCTACCTTAGCATTCATGTCCCACTTGCTCAAATCTTTATATCGTAGTAGAGGTTGGCCTCAACATCTTCTGACCATCCTTAATTAGCCATAGACGATGTTCTTGGGGACTCCACCATCTTCTATTCTGTGCGACTCAGCCACCTGAGTCTACGGAAACTGAACAATGAGAAAACTGTTGTAATACCTGCACTTTCCAATACCTCAGTGTTTGTCATCTTGTCATGCCACCTAATGCCAGGTATTCTTCTTAGGCATCACATGTGAAAGCTATTTAGCCATTTCTCCTGATGCAAATAAGCTGACCAAGTTTCACTGCCATAAAACAGAGTGTTGAGAACACAGGCCTGATAGACAAGAGTTTTTAGTTTAATCGTGAGCTGTCTGTTCTCCCTAACTCTTTTTGTTAAACTGCTCATTGCTGTCTCTGCTGCCTTATCTAACCTGATGTTGATTTCTTGATTATCCACTGTGGATCCCTCATATGTAAAATGGTAACCTGCAGGTCTATCATTAACACATTGTACCATAATCTATGTCTTCTTTTTGTTGATAGTTAGTTCAAATTCACAGCATGCATGAGCAAATACAGATAGTCAACATTATAGTTGAGCAGTAGTTTCTTTATTTGTATGTGAAATAAATGAGGGTCTGCTTTTCTTAGCTGAATCTTCTCTGCCATATGTTGCTAGTTCCATAATCTTGTAGACTAGTTGCCAACTAATACATGGTGCAGCTAACATCATATTGGCTGCCTTCACTGCATGAGAATTATTTCTGATACTTTTTCAGGTTGGATGGACCTTTGAGTCCAGATAATTTAAAAAAAAAAACAAATGTGCGATGATGGGTATTAAAATCATGACCACTGGCCTGGCAGACAAACATACTAGCCACTAAGCTATTGTGCTTGCCTGCCAATCCAAAGCTCCAGGGTTCAGACCTGCACCAAGGCAGATTTTTTTTTAATACATTCATCTTAGCTCTCAGGTTAACCCAGCCTAAAATGGGTACTATGTCTGGTAGTCTGGTAGTCTTAGTTTCAGCTTCATAGCAAACGGGTCACCCCATCTTTGCTTCGCTCCTGTGCCAACGAAAAACATACAGAATGTTTACCACAGTACCTTGTGGAAAGATTGACAGACTGCTGTCTCAGCATATCAAGCAAACACTCGCATTAAAGCATATGGTAGCCGTCTGAAGTGCTAACACAAACAGTCCGACATTGGAAATGCAGTTCATCATTGATGGTAGCAGAAGTCACCAACGTATCAGCAGTTGCCAACACGATCAATTTTAATCACATACAGGCACCACCAACATTGCACGACAGGCATTGCACCATTTTCTGAGTCTACAGTTCACACCACCACGTTGGTCACAGTCGAAAAAACATTTCAAATGAAATGTGCAGCTGACAGTGTCATGCCATGCATTCAAATCAGAAGCTGGGGGACGAAACAAATAGAGCAAAAATGCATCGGCCACCGTCCGGCAGAAGCAAAAAATTTGCCTTTGCTTCGAACAGTGCCCCTGCCTAGCGTCCATTTTGACTAGATGAAGGGTACTATGTAATGTCCATGGTGACAATGTCAGCCATCGAGTGATGACTGGTCTATAAAAATATAGATTTTATTTATATTCCTGTTCCTTTATTCATTTGCCCTTCCTGATTTTTTACCTCCATGCAACAATATCCCCAGTGCACCAGAGACACCAAAAGGGTCATCTACTTTTTTTTTTCCTTTTTGTTTATATACTGTGCTTTTGTTGCGTAACACTCAATCTGTCATTATCATTATCATCATAAACTACCTCTGCCAGTAAGCGCCATGGGGAATGCACATCATTATAAGACATCACTCGGTGAGTACTTATAGGTCTGCACAAAAATGAGGATAGTACTGTATATTTTATTGTGCCTTAAGGCTTAGAAAAGTGTCTTTTATTAATCATTTTAAAAAGTTAGAATCTTGTGTTTCTGTCCGGCTTAAATGGCTAGATAACAATTATGAAGCTTTTCGTAATGGACTCATATTGTCCAACCAATAAAAAAAATTTTCTAAAGCAAAACAAAATTATGTTAATCAGTTTTCCAGTTTTTTTCATATCCACAGACTTCTTTTGATGGCGCAAAAAATAATACTAATTTAAAAATGTGGGGATGTTCTGACAGTGACAGTACTAGCTGTCTAATTAAATATTATATATATTTGTTCCAGTGGTGGGTGCCATGTTAAGATCTATGGCAGAAATCTGCAGAGTGTCAAGTATCCAAAACTAGAAGTAGCACTTGCATCAGACACTACAAACAGAACTGCAGTGGTGAGTCATGCACTACTTTTATCCTGATCCGTAAAAATTTATCATTTGTTTACAGTTGTTCATTAAATTTTACTGGCGTAAGTACCTGTAATATGTGGAAAAGTATATGGACATAAATAAAGCTGAAGTTACACAGAAAATACCATGAAATAAGGCATTTAAAGAAAACTTAACTCTTAACTGTGCTGTTATGTCAAATATTGTTATCGTTTTTAACAGTCGGTGTCCAGGACTGTTGTTACTTTAACACTTTATCATCCAAAGCTTTTGTACTTTACAGTAGCAATCTTTGAATCCTAATTAACAATTTCACTCTCAGAGTGCCCAAGAGATAGTAAAGAGAAAGGTAAAATCGGCACATCTTGTGTTCCCTTCTAGCAAGGAGCACATGAATTGGGACTAAATGAGTTAAATGGGATGCAGAGGCGCTGAACCACATTTGATGGTGCACCAGAACCAGCGCTCGTACTCGTCAAGGTCTGCCTAAACCTCTCAGTGATTAATCCTAGAAACAGGTTCCCAAACAAGGGGCCTGGCCAACATAAATAAGATCGGTTCCCTCAGTCAGAGTGCATCTGCCTGAGAGTCAGGGACCAACAACAGTCTGCACACAAACAGATCAGATCTGTCAAATGGATGAGCACACTAATCAGTCCTGGACAGTGGCATAGAAATGGGGTGCAGGCCACCCCCAGGTGTCATCACTGGGGGGGGGGGGGGGGGGGGGGGCCATCACGGGAGGGGGGGGGGGGGGGGGTGGGTGGCTGGTGCAGGCCACCTGTCACCACTGGGGGGGGGGGGATGGTGCAGGCCACCTGTCACCACTGGGGGGGGGGGGGGGAATGGTGCAGGCCACCTGTCACCACTGGGGGGGGGGGAATGGTGCAGGCCACCTGTCACCACTGGGGGTGGGGGGGGAATGGTGCAGGCCACCTGTCACCACTGGGGGGGGGGAATGATGCAGGCCACCTGTCACCACTGGGGGGGGGGGGGAATGGTGCAGGCCACCTGTCACCACTGGGGGGGGGGAATGGTGCAGGCCACCTGTCACCACTGGGGGGGGGGATGATGCAGGCCACCTGTCACCACTGGGGGGGGGGGAATGGTGCAGGCCACCTGTCACCACTGGGGGGGGGGGGGGGGGAATGGTGCAGGCCACCTGTCACCACTGGGGGGGGGGGGGGGGGAATGGTGCAGGCCACCCCCGGGTGTCATCACTGGGGGGGGGGGATGGTGCAGGCCACCTGTCACCACTGGTGGGGGGGGGAATGGTGCAGGCCACCTGTCACCACTAGGGGGGGGGGATGGTGCAGGCCACCTGTCACCACTGGGGGGGGGGAATGGTGCAGGCCACCTGTCACCACTGGGGGGGGGGGGGAATGGTGCAGGCCACCTGTCACCACTGGGGGGGGGGGGAATGGTGCAGGCCACCTGTCACCATTGGTGGGGGGGGGGGAATGGTGCAGGCTGAGAATGAACTTGCCTCTCGCAGAATATAAAAAAAAAAAAACATTAGTAGTGTATATTGCCATATATGTGATATATTTTTACCTGCCATGAGTTCCCTGTAAAGTTTGATGCACATATGTTATTTGGAGGGGTGGCTGTGGAAGACTGACATATATTTTTTAATGATACAGTGAAACACTAGAACAGCAGTTCTCGACCTGCATGTCATGACCCTTTTTGGGGGCACACGACCCTTTCACAGGGGACGCCTGAGACCATTGGAAAACCCACATTCATTGAAGTTAGGAAAGAAAATAATTGTTTGTGTGTCACCACAACATGAGAGAACTGTATTAAATTGTTGCAGCATTAGGAAGGTTCAGAGCCACTGCCCTAGAACCTATAGTTTTGTTTATAAAGTCAAAGAAACAATCTATAGTGCTGACGGAAGACTAAGTATCAGATGGATATATTTTGTTATACTATGTAGTGTAAACTATGTAAACACTCAGCCACTGTAGTTCAGATGTAAAAATGTGCTTATGATAGTCCCACGACAGCACTGCAGTTTGTGGTGTTTTGTTAGGCCTTTGACTATTCTCCTTTTTCGTCTTCTTCACTTTTACATGTTTGCTGACTGTAAACAAAGTTCTCGTTGTGAGTTGACTTCTGGACTTTGGTCTTGTTCCTGAAGTTTTAGTTTTGTGTCTACACCCGTTTTTACTGATCTTCTGTATTTGTATGCAGACTACTGGTTCCTCATCTCTCCTTCAGATGCATTCTGACTGCAAAGGAAACCTCAAATAAGTCTACTTTTATGACATGCTTGCTGGGGTAGGGGGATTGGGGGGGGGGGGGGGGGGGCAGTGGATCCATTCTTTTCTTTAAAAAATATGGCTAAAAAAACATACACAGAGATAAATATTCTAGGCCTCTCAGATAATTTCCAAACAATTTTGAAGATTGTCTTCTGCCAATTTTTATGAAGCCTAAACAACTCCAAAGCTGTACTTATTTAAAAATCAAAATGATAAACTAATTTTGCCTCTGCTGGGTATTGAAAGTCGACCACTGTCTTGGCAGGTAAGCGCACTTATCTCAATACCACCTTGGCACCAAAGCATATTGTGCAAACTTTCTTAATATATTTTTTTTAAACAAGCAACTTCAACTGCCCAATAGTATCTGATGGTAAATGTAGACCCCATGCCTCTATCTCAATATGAATATAAGATATATATATATATATATATAAAGTAAAGGACCCTTTTCTACGCCTTTAGGCGTTATGAGCATATAGGGCTAGACCTATATTTTAAAGACTAATCGGCAGTTGGTGAGTGATATGGTCAGCATCTTGCCGGCCACCTTTACTTCCCAGGATTGCACGTGGTACCCACTCAAGGTTGGGTTGACCTGAGAGCCAAGGTAATTTATTTAAAAAGTCTGGCTCGTCATGAGCCGAACCCATGACCTTCCTATCTGCCGGCGAGCGTCTAGCCGCTACACCATGGTGATTCCATATATATATTTATGTATATACACACACATACATACAAAAATATTTATTGAAAATAATTTTACCCATTCAAAGCGATGTATTGTGTTAATGATTTATTTTTATTTAATCCTAAGAACTGTCGGCACACTAAAGACTATGTGATTTGCCCAACTCCGGAACTGAAAAGCCTGTATACATCAGCTAATGACAGATTTCTCATGACTGCTGTCTTTGATGGAGTGACCTCTTCAAGCATTGGAAATATAGATGTGAAACCTGATCCAGAGATATATGATGTTGGCACAATCAATTTTCAGTATCCATTTGAAGACACCATAACTGTGGGCGTATGTTATCATATATTACTCTGTCAGTAAAAATTGTTTCCAATGTCTTTATCATCATATTAAAATGATCATCATTGCATGATAATGATTGACATCACATTATATTGATCATCATTACATTAAAATTATCATCACATCATAATCATCATTGCTCTGTAATGATCATTTATCACATTATGATCATCATCACATTATACTGATAGTTCATCACATTATAATGTTCATCCTTACATTAAAATAATAACCACATCATCATCATCATCCATCATCATCATAAACCACTTCTGCCGTTAAGCGGCTTGGGGAGGAATAATTTGCGATCCAGTGCATCTTCTGAGATGTAGTGCTTGTGATGGTATTTGATCTTGCGGCATTCTTACAAGATGGCCAAACCACTTAATCTGCTGTTTCTCAATGAATCTAGTACAAGGTGTCGTTCCCACAATTCGCCTGATAGTTTCATTATTCACTCGATCTCGGATGGTTAGGTTGGCTGCTTTTCTCAGGCACCTCATCTCGCAGGTGGTGATTTTGCGTATATGAGCTTTAGATAGTGTCCATGTTTGGCACTGGTAGCTTAATGTTCGAATGAATATGCTATTAATAATCTGTCTCTTTGCACTCATAGTTATGCTTGGATGTCTTAATAATGGTAACAATTGGTATATAAGTGCACTTGCTTTCTGGCATCTGGTTTTTATTTCTCTGTTAATTCTACCATCTTCTGTGATCATACTTCCTAGATATTTAAACCATATCATAAACAATATATTCTTCTTCGAGTCCATGCCATGCTGCCTTGGTGGTCATGTCTATCCAAAATCTTCTGTCTTGTGCTCGTGTACTTTCAGTCAACTCTGACACAGATGATCTTCCATGCCATGATGTCAAATTGTCCAGCATCTGTTCTCTCAGTCTCCCTCTGCCTCTCCTCCCCTCAAACTTTCCTACCATCATGATGTACTTCAGTTTTCTCCTTCTCATTACATGACCAAAGAATGTAGATTGTCTCTTTCTGATGTGGGCAATTACTTCTCTTCGTGAGTCAGTTTCTTTAAAGACGTCTTCATTACTCTTTTTATCTGTCCTGAGTATTCTCATCATTTGTCTATAAAACCACAACTCCATAGCTTCCAAGTAAGTTTTCACTAATTTATTAACTGTCCATGTTTCATATCCATATATATCATATTATACTAATAATTCATCCCATAATGATCTTTGTCAAATTATAATGATCCCTTTTCATCAAGCAGATGTGCCCCAACTTTTGAAAAAAACACCAAAATATGACACTCCTTGTTAGGAAACCAGTAGTCAGCCCCCCCCCCCCCCCCCCCCCCAAGAAATAAGTGAGGTTTTCACCCCATAAGGTTTATTGTAATTCAAACAAAACATTGTCAGTCTTTTACAGAGAAAATGTAAGTCTAATATTTTCAATATTGACTACAGGGCAAGGGTCTCGGAGCAGCCTGCCAGGAGTATGAACTGAAAGTGTTCACTGGATCTGTCACCTGTGGCAGTATTCACATCACAGATGCAGAGATCAAGTGTAAGCCAGCAGTGTCACCTCCTGGAGGTTACAAACATCTACCTATACGGGTAACTTACATTTTAAAATTGTATTTATCTGTAAAGTGTCTATCACTTTAATACATCTGTAATAACTTTAGTTCATTAGCCGACAGATTATCCACTCTACTGGTCTTTTCTAGTATTGACTAGTATTCCTTTTATTTACCACTTTTAGAGCAGTGTAGGATAAGGGTATCCTCCTTGAGATAGATGAGAGGTGTAAACTGATTAGGGAAGCTGAGTCAGTGTTTTTCAGTCATGTGAGAAAGAATGGACTTGAGAACTTGGTCATGACTGGCAAGTTTAACAAAAAGAGAAAGCAAAATACCATCCCGGAGCCATTCGGCTTAGCCATATGGGTGAGGTGAGACAGAGCACTTACATGATATGTGATTCTAGTAGTTGTGTGGGACAGTGTAACATAAAACATACTCCTATTGGCACGGCACATGTTTGTGATGATGATTTAGTATACTGGGGGAAGTGGGTTAACCTGAGGATTTATGGTCGCATGGCTAGTGCAGTCTCCACAAACTGTATGTTGAAATTTTTAATTTTTCCCTCAACGAAACAAATCTTTTCAACACCTCATTAATTATTTGAACTCAGGTATCCATGATGAGAGCCTAGTATTTTAACCTCTAGGGTAGCTTCATCTAAATTAATAACTTGGATTATGTATACAACTCTCATTTCCTCAAATCTGGGTATGAAACATGTACCTGTGCATATAATTTGTAACCTCATTGTATCTAAACAGTGCTGGGAAACAGTGGGAATTTGACTTCAGAGGAAAATGACAAGAAGACTATAGATGGACAGAAATGCAAATGAGACAGTTCTCAAAACAAAAATGAAACAAAAAATATGAAAACTATAAATTGGAGAATTAAACATCTATCTATGTAGGCTAATTTATTACAACATTGTTACAGATGGTCCCTTTAACTTAAAATTATGCATAGAATTCATTTTAAAATATAGATGTAAATATAACTGATCCTTGATCATTCTAATAGGTCATTGTTGGTAACATCAACAGACAAGTTGGTACTCTGCATTATCTGGAGCTACACGAGACTACTAATTTTATAATCATCATAAGTTGTATAGCCGCAGCCATTGGAATTGCAATCATTGTTGTCATTATTTGCTGTATTTGGTGCCGCAGAAAGAAAAAGACAACCACCACACTAATTGCTTCAGATGGTGAAGCTTCAAAAGCTTTCTCAGAATGTAAGTTTCAGTCTTTTTGTCATAGGCTAATGAGAGCAGAAGTGAAATAAACATATTGGTCAGTTTGATCTAAACTTCTTCATTTCCTCCTTCACCGCTTTGGGTATTGAGGAAGATTTAGGGTTCTGACCTTTTTGCTCTTCTGACAACCGTAACCATCAACACGTCCATGCTGTAGAGTTTTTCTTATGGTAACTTTCCATCTTGTTCTTGGTCTGCCTTGTGCTCTACCTTCTTATGGACACTTATGACCCTGTTGACTTTATTTAGTTTAGCAGGGGATAAAGTGTGAGTCATGCTGAGTGACAGAAATTAGTTTTTTCCATGAGGACAGTTGTTTACCAGCAAGCGAGGTCAGTCCTCAGCTTGCACGTGTGTCTAGGTTTAAGGAACCTTCTAGAGCTTAAATATTTTACACATGTTGGTTCATCTGTATGTAGCAAATGATCAGAGAGGTCAGACATGTTCACATGTTCTCAACATTTAAGAATGTTAAAAAAAAAGAATGTTAAATTTAGAATCAACATCAGTACACTCAGGACATTCCAATAAGTGCTCTGTCCCTATCTTCAGCAGCAAGTGCAGGGTTCCAGTTCTGATGGTACTAGTAACAGTGTGATTGTATATATCTGTTACACCTCTTCTTTAGTGCTGAGCATTTACCAAATCCCCTGGCCACTCCTCACTGAACAATTCTACTTTGACCGTTTTGATCTGCTTGTACCTCTGTGTATTCACTGGCTATCGAAGGACCCTTACAAAATCTAGTTTTTCATGCATCAATTCACAACCAAGTAGTGCAGAACCAGCAAGTCTCAGCATGTAATATCATGTATTGCTAGGGCTAATGAGTGTAACAGACATCAGTAAAGTTAGAACTTGTGAGGTTCACTTGGTGTAGATTCTAAGTGACAAGACATGTCATTCTTATGGCTGAATTGTAATCTTCGGTAACAGCTAGACAGCTATTAAGTCACAAGTAAAGCCAGATTAGAGTATAACAGAATATGTTGCGGACAAACAAAATCAGATTGGCCCAGACTGAAGACTGCAGATGAAGACAAGCAGAAGCAGACCAGAGTCAAGGGAGGACTCCTTGATGGAGTCTTGGCTAGAAGGAATCCTGGGAGTCTCACAAGAAGCAAAGGGAAGATAGACACAGAAACTTCCATAGAGGTGGAACCAGAGACAGGCATAGATGGAGACGGGTACAGATTCCTGCAAGGCAAACACAGTAGGAAAATCAACATAGGGGGCTGCTATTAGGAAATGAAGGGCTGCAGCAGGGATCTTAATCTAATATATGCATATATAAGTATATAAAATAGTGGCACCTCAATATATGTCAGTTTTCTACTAAATCCAACTTGAAATACTTCTGTTTAAGACATGAGGAGTTTTGCTTGCTATAAGATCATTGTTTGGAATATGACACACATGCTAGAAATTATGAGCCCCAATCAGGCCTAAAATAATAAATGGAGACAGAAAGAAGAAAAAGGCACACATAAAAACCACACGAATTTCAGATTCCTGAAGTTTTATCAGATGAGAAAAAATGTTGTTTCCAAACAATAATATCTTCTCTGCCCTTCTCAGCACCATCATAGTAAGCACTCATCTCTTTTCAGCTCCATCATAGTAAGCACTCATCTCTTTTCAGCTCCATCATAGTAAGCACGCATCTCTTCTCAGCTCCATCATAGTAAGCACTCATCTCTTTTCAGCTCCATCATAGTAAGCACTCATCTCTTTTCAGCTCCATCATAGTAAGCACTCATCTTTTTTCAGCTCCATCATAGTAAGCACTCATCTCTTCTCAGCTCCATCATAGTAAGCACTCATCTCTTTTCAGCTCCATCATAGTAAGCACTCATCTCTTTTCAGCTCCATCATAGTAAGCACTCATCTCTTCTCAGCTCCATCATAGTAAGCACTCATCTCTTCTCAGCTCCATCATAGTAAGCACTCATCTCTTCTCAGCTCCATCATAGTAAGCACTCATCTCTTCTCAGCTCCATCATAGTAAGCACTCATCTCTTTTCAGCTCCATCATAGTAAGCACTCATCTCTTCTCAGCTCCATCATAGTAAACACTCATCTCTTTTCAGCTCCATCATAGTAAGCACTCATCTCTTTTCAGCTCCATCATAGTAAGCACTCATCTCTTCTCAGCTCCATCATAGTAAGCACTCATCTCTTCTCAGCTCCATCATAGTAAGCACTCATCTCTTCTCAGCTCCATCATAGTAAGCACTCATCTCTTCTCAGCTCCATCATAGTAAGCACTCATCTCTTCTCAGCTCCATCATAGTAAGCACTCATCTCTTCTCAGCTCCATCATAGTAAGCACTCATCTCTTCTCAGCTCCATCATAGTAAGCACTCATCTCTTTTCAACTCCATCATAGTAAGCACTCATCTCTTTTCAGCTCCATCATAGTAAGCACTCATCTCTTCTCAGCTCCATCAGAGTAAGCACTCATCTCTTCTCAGCTCCATCATAGTAAGCACTCATCTCTTTTCAGCTCCATCATAGTAAGCACTCATCTCTTTTCAGCTCCATCATAGTAAGCACTCATCTCTTCTCAGCTCCATCATAGTAAGCACTCATCGCTTTTCAGCTCCATCATAGTAAGCACTCATCTCTTTTCAGCTCCATCAGAGTAAGCACTCATCTCTTTTCAGCTCCATCATAGTAAGCACTCATCTCTTCTCAGCTCCATCATAGTAAGCACTCATCGCTTTTCAGCAAGGTCAAGTGAGGTTACATTTTCATTTATTTTATCTAATTGCTTTTGTATTTTTGTATTTTAGTATTGAGCAGTGTTTACATTATTTTCACTACCCCATCAACATTTAATATGCCAATAACAATTTAATTTTCTAATGAAAAGGTATTATTCATTTTCCCTTTACTTCTAATGGAAAAATTTATCTGGTATACTGTATATCTTAACTGGTATAATCCCAAGGATATGGAACAGATTAACGACTATACTGGGGTTTCTAACTATTTGCCCATTATGCTATATTCATTTACTTACTACTTTACTTATTTCAAAAGACTTTATTTCAGTAATGAAATCTACAAAAAATCTTATTTCAGTAATGAAATCTACAAAAAATCTTATTTCAGTAATGAAATCCACAAAAGATCTTATTTCAGTAATGGAATCTACAAAAGACCTTATTTCAGTAATGGAATCTACAAAAGACCTTATTTCAGTAATGAAATCTACAAAAGACCTTATTTCAGTATTGGAATCTACAAAAGACCTTATTTCAGTAATGAAATCTACAAAAGACCTTATTTCAGTAATGGAATCTACAAAAGACCTTATCATTATCATCAATTGCCTTGCCGACTGGCATGGGCAATCTTGCCTCTCCACAGTCTGTGATCTTCTACAGCAAACATCAGTTTACGCGCTGGCACCCCTCCATGCCATGACAAAAGGTTGTCAAGAATCTCTTTCCCACAGATCTTTCCAGTGGTCACATGTTCCAATCTCTTTCTTCATATAACATGGCCAAATAATGATGACTGTCTTTTTTGTCGTTTGTAATACAATTTTGGTAATACTTCAAATAGCAACCAAAGTTACACAATCTATTGTTTGTATGTGGTGACTGTAAGGGAGACAATCTGTTTAATATTGCTTCAGGTTATGGTTTAGGTTAGGATTAGCCCTAACTCTAACCCTAACCTCAAGCAATATTAAATATTAAAGAATATTATTACGTGAACTTACATAATCAGTGGATTACATCCTCTAGTGTAGGCATTTAAAGTATTATTAACTGACAGAAAGACTGCGTCCCTTAGGGTCGTCATTTGAAGTTTTGCTAAAATGTTTTTGAGCCCTCACCTTGTTTTGCACAAGGTTACCTTTTTTTTGCTGTCCGAAGAATTCTAAAAATGTTTCTGTAAAACCACACCTCTAAAGCCTTAACAAATTGTTTGGGTTGTTTATTAATAAATATAATAAATGCAAGTTGCTATATCATTATATAACCAGTACTATTTTGTTATAAAAATGCTTTATTTATTAAAATCCATAAGACATTAATTGTAGCTTTATGAAAACAAATGTAATCACATAGACTATATCAAGAACAAATATTTGATTTCAGTAACGAAACCTACAGAACAACCTGTGCTACAGGTACAGAGGCAGGATGTGCCTGTCCTTAAGGAAACTGTTTTCCGAGAACCTAAGAAAGGAATTGTCAACACAGAGGCAGAGGATGCAGTATTCAGTGAAGAGTTTTTACCTAAAGTGAATGTTGACCTAAGAGAGGACTTGAGACAGTGCTACATTGGGGCAGGACATTTTGTGCTGGGCAGACACTGTGCTGTGAGAGGTATAAACATTCTAGAGATCTTTATACTCTGCTCATTGTTATTTTTGTGTAGTTCACTTCATGTTTGACAAAGGTTGTCCTGCTGAAACATTATGTTATTTGTGTTTTGTGCACATTTTTCTGCTTCCCCATTCGGTTAAGCTTTTTTGGTCAAATTTCCCTGGAATTCCTTGGATCAAGACTGGCATGAGAGAGATCGAGTAAGGCTTATGCATTGTTACAGCTCTACTGTGCAGGTGTTAGTGGTAAAAAAAAGCTATTATGTGGCTAGAGATACATAATTTTTCCCATGTGTGCTTACTAAATGATTCCCTGACGATGCTTAATAATCGAGAAAGGATAGGTTTGAAGACAATGGTTGGAGTCTCTGCAAAAATCTCATCTGACAGGAATCATTTTCATTTTTGTATCAGGGCAGTGTGGAGTAAAAGGGATGGATAAGCGGTATGGCATGATGGTAGAGCCATGACAGTGGGCACCACACAAGCAGTGGATTGGGCCAATGTTTTCAATGCTTTCAATGAGGCAGGATGAGTGAAACAACTGTGATTCTGCAACATTAGAAAGACTACAAGAAATTCAGGTCAAAAGAGGTATTATCAGATCTGAACACTATACAGGCAGCAAAAGAAGAATAGTAAACCAACACAGAACTGATGTTATCAGTCGTCACACTCTGAGGGAGATACTGAAGATGAGATCTGAGTGTTTATGGACTTGTCCGAAGTGCGATGAGGATGATCAGTTTACTAACTAATAAACATTGCACAACTCTGTTAAATCCAAGTCAATGTGCAAGTCACTTTCTTGGCTCATGTTGGACTGATCAGTCATCTTGTCACTCAGTCAGTCAATACTGCTTTTGTATGCTAAGTAGTCTTAGTCACTTGCCGTGGACGGAAAAAAACACTTATTTCTTTTAAAAGCTTTCCAAATACATTATTAGTTTCATCTGTCTAAATATATTGTGTATAAAGTGTTTTTCTTTTTCAAATTTAGATTATCTGTATTTATAAATATAAAACAACAACAAACTTGTTATGACATATTTGACTTCAGGTAAAAAAGCACAACTGATAGATGGCTCCCTACAGAAAAGTCGCACACCTGCTGTAAAGCTCACCATTAAATCCCTTCTCCACCCAATTACAGGTAATCAGTGCATTATAGACAATATATAATTAAAGCTTTGATGTTAAGTTTGTTACTAAATATGTTCAAAATTGCTAATATTTTACTAATGTAAATTCTGAAATCTACACTTTAAGTGTGAGACATATGTCACTTCACTCTGTCTGTCATAACACAGTTTTAAATTTAAGGCTTAAAAATAATACTATGAATAAACTGGGACAGAAGCAGTCCGTGTAACAACTGGATAATACACAAGGAGTTTCAAGCTGTATTATGTAAGTGGGGGGAACATGCATGTCCAGTTGATTGTTGATTTCTGTGTGTGTTTTTGCTGTTGTTGTTGGTGTGAATTGTTTGGTGAGTTCATTAGTGAGTTAAGTGGTTATTTGATTGAAGAGTTGTTTGGTGATTTAATTGGTGTGTTTTTGCTGAGTTGATTGGTTAGTTGTTTGGTGATTTGAGTGGTGAGTTGTTTAGTGGTTCGAGTGGTGAGTTGTTTGCTGAGTTGCCTGGTGAGTTGTTTGGTGATTTGCCTGGTGAGTTTTTAGTGATTTGAGTGGTGAGTTGTTTGCTGAGTTGATTGGTAAGTTGTTTGCTGATTTGATTGGTGAATTGATTGGAGAGATGTTTGATGATTTGATTGTCAACTTATAATGAATACCAGTAATTGTTCAAGGAAATAAAGATTGCAGGTATTATAGTAGTCACCGGTTTTCCGGAATGGCCAATTTGAAAGCTATGCCCTCCAATTTTAACCTAGTGATTATTTCCCCCATTGTAATTGAAAAAAACCTGGCCAAGATGGCAGAATAAGCTGCGGCTATCACTATACAGTTTTGATAAATTTTGTTTTAGGGGATTTCCATCAAATTATTGTTCAAACAAGGATGATCCGACAGGCCCAGCAAGCCGGTAGGGGATTTGTTTGTTCAAGCACCACTGCTCAAGATTTATGGTGTATTTTGAAGAAAAAGCGCGATTACACCAGCGCTTCAAACCGCCACACACAAGACAGAGTCATGAAAGAAACACCGGCTAAGATAGACAGATCCGGCACGAATGAAAGAACGAACGAACTTTTATTTTCAAAGGGTTACAAATTAGGCACGCAGGCCTGTCTTACATTCGGCCCTTCCAAACTTCCATCTTTCGCACAGCAGTTGTATTTCATCAATGAAGCATGTTATATTTATGTAATAATATGCATATTATATATATAAAGTCAAAAACAAAAGCATGGGTGGTAAAACATGTGCGCACTAACGCTCAAGCATCGCGAACACACACACCCACATACACACACAAGCCAAATCACTCACTTACACACAAACACATAGGCACCCAGTACACACATACATCTACATACATACGATCATGCACACATACATACATACGATCATGCACACATACATACATACATACATACATACATACATACATACATACATACATACATACATACATACATACATACATACATACATACATACATAATACATACATACATAATACATACATACATACATACACACACACACATACATACATACATACATACATACATACATACATACATACATACATACATACATACATACATACATACATACATACATACATACATACATACATACATACATACATACATACATACATACATACACACTCTAAAACACACACGCATACAACCCAGACACATACAGACACACACACATACAGTCCCGGGCACACACACACAAACACATACACACACCCAGGCAGGGAAACAGACACGCATTGACATACGCAACACCCACACATACACAGGTATACACACCCACACATACACAGGTATACACACACAGACATGCACAGTCACACATACGCACACAGACATACATGCAGACGCATAACCCGACACAAGCAGAGACACGCAGACATTATATAATAGACAGTTTTTAAGATGGCTACATGGAACATTTGTGGTATGGGGGATAAAGTGGCTGAATTGGTTGAATTTATGATTAAGAGTAAAATCAAAGTTTTGGGAATTGCTGATATCAGAAGAAAAGCTCAAGGCGTCCAGAAAATTCATAAGAACTTTGTTCTGATTTGGAAAGGGACTCAACCACAAGAAACTAATAAACATGGAGTGGGTTTTATCATTGCTCCAGAAACAGCAAAATATTTACTAGATTCAGAATTTGTGTCAGAGAGAATCATAAGTATCTGGCTGCAGGTAAAAGAAGAGTATCGTATATTCAAGTATATGCTCCTTGTAACGACACTTACACTGAAGAAGAAAGAACAGAATTATTTGACCAACTTAGTGAAACCATCAGTAAAGTTACAGACACCGATGGCTTGTATGTGATGTGAGATTTCAACGGACATGTGGGAGAACGTCGACCTCTGTGGTCCACATATATGGGACCATTTAGTGACAAAGAAAATAAATGTAACAACAATGGAGAACAATTACTCAAAGAATGTGCAGAGCATGAACTAATTATCAGCAACAAGCTATACCAACATAAGAGAAGCAAGATATTGACCTGGTATAAATGGAATAATATTAACCAAGCATCACAGATAGATTTTTTTCTCACAAAAAAGAGCGACAGATGGAGAATAAAGAGCTCCAGGGCCATCCCAAATGCAATAATAGACTCTGACCATAGACCTGTAGTACTTTGGCTCTATAAACCAACAAGAATTTGCATTGATAAAACACCACAGCTAATGGATCAGATAGCCATAGAGAAACTAAAAGACAAAGATGTGGCAATTCAAGTTGAGGAAACAGTTAAAAACACCTTCAGTGCTCTAGAGAGAGGAAATGACATAGAAGAAGAGTGGCAAATTTTTAAAACCTGCATCCTGAATGTAATGACAGAAAAGTGCGGACTCCGAAAGCCAAGTAGGCACATGAAACAAACAGCATGGTGGAATGAAAAAGTTAAAATTTCTGTCAAAGAAAAGAAGAAATATTTTCATCAGTGGCAAAAGTCAAATATAGAAAAGCAAGAGCAAAGAGCAAGAGGAAAGTAAATTCAGTGAAATCAGAATCATGGGCAAACTACGGAGAACAATTAGCAAGGCTATGCACTGATTCACCAGGTCAGTTCTACCGAAGCATCAAGGCTATGAGACTGAGAGAAGAGAAACTTAATCCATCAAAGATAATAAACAGCAAGGCTAAAAAACCACTCACCAAATCCCAAGATGTTAAAAGAAGATGGCAAGAATATTTTTTCTGAATTACTGAATAGTGGACCACAAGAACCAGTGTCTAATAAAATAAAATTTGGACAAGAACAAGAACCTAATATATTAGAATCTGAAGTTGAAAAGATCCTAGAGCAAAGCAAAAGAAACAAAGCGGCCGGAACAGATGGTATTACAACAGACATAATACTTGCATGTAAGGCAACAGCAGTAAAATGGTTGACAAGAATATTCAATATGACCTGGGAGGAAATGAAAGTTCCCGTTGACTGGCAGAGAGCAATTATAGTTCCCATATGGAAGAAGAAAGGTGATAAACGAGATTGTGAAACATACAGAGGTATCTCTTTACAAAGCCATGTAGGAAGGATATTTGCAAAAATATTAGAACGAAGAGCGAGGGTGATATTAGAACCTCAATTAAGTAACAACCAGTTTGGATTTAGAAAAGGAAAGAGCTGCACTGATGCCATATTTACTCTTCGGCAAATTTGTGAACAGACAATCGAATATAATAAACACCAGAATCTTATATTCATTGACAGGGTTAATAGAAATAAACTATGGAACATTCTTGAAGAATATGGTGTACCAGGTCAATTATTGGGAAACATAATGGCTCTCTATCAAAATAGCCAGAGCACTGTAAGAACAACGGAAGGTATGACAGACTGGTTCCCCATTACATCAGGAGTACGACAAGGATGTGTCCTATCACCCCTACTCTTCATCACATATATGGAACAGATGGGCCATGGGAGACACAGGAAGAGAGGTTTATAGACATATGTCTGGCCCTGATCCTAATGACAGCATTAACCATCTAACAAGAAGGGACCAGGCCACCATCTTTCAGACTTTAGAATGCAACATACTCCCACTCAATGGACACCTAAACAGAATACAGCCACAACACTCCCCAGAGTGCCAGCTATGTAACTACCCCTACGAAACTGTTGAACACCATCTCTTTGAGTGCCCAAAACTCAGTGAGACAAGAAGAACGCTACTCCCCTCCGAGACCAGACAAGTGGAACCCTTGTAACGGAGGAAAAGAACAGCTTGTGAAAACATGCAAATTCCACTACATGGCATTGGGCCAAAAGGCGAAAACTCATGCGCCGCTGGATCGATAACAACAACAACATATGGATAAAATTGCACAGGAGTCAAACCAAAACACAGATATTAAAAATGAACTACTCTTTGCAGATGACCAATGTTTGTTACAAGAAGAAGAACAAAAACTACAACAACATGTTGATTCATTGCTCACTAACTGTACAAAATTTGACATGAAAATAAACACCTCAAAAACTGAAGTAATGACCATCGGAAAGAAACACAGTAATGTAAACATAAAGATCAATGACATACAATAAGAACAAGTTCAAGAATTCAAGTACTTAGGATGCATATTTACAGAAGATGGAAGATGGAAGACTCGATAAAGAGATACAGGCTAGAGTTCAAAAAGCCAATGCAGTCAACTACCAACTGGCCCCACTTCTTCGTCATCCAAAGATCTCGTTACCAGCCAAACAACGGATGATCAACAGCATTTTCATCCCTACGTTATGTTATCAGTGCCAAACGTGGACAATGAACAAATCACATATGCAAAAAATAACTGCGTGTGAAATGCGATGTCTCCGAAGAGTCACCAACAATACACGAAGAGACAGAGTCACAAACGTCAGCATTAGAGACAAAGTTGGAACAAGAGCATGCATGGAACATATTGAAACACAGAGAATGAAGTGGTTTGGCCATTTAGTAAGAATGCAACCGGATCAGATTGCTTATAAGGCCTTTTACAGTAGAACATCAGGAAGAAAGGCCAGAGGAAGACCCAGGAAAAAATGGATAGATGGAGTAGCTGAATACGGACAGAAGATCCAGAAAACTGTCACTCAAATCACGCGAGAGGCACAAAACAAATATTTTAAACCACGACACTGGGCTGCAACCCGGTAAAAGTGAAGAAGACAATAGATAGATAGATAGATAGATAGTAGTCACCATTCAATGAGGATAATGTAACTAGATTTGTATGAGGCTGACGTCATATCACTGACAAACCAATAGATGTGGAAGTGTTTTATTGTAATAGAACAGATATCCTATAACTTAGTTATAGTATTTTTTTTTAATTCCTGTTCAACCCTTCAGGGTTAAATTTGTGATTCTGTATAATCCATTTCCTGTTTTTGTTTTGTTTTGGATAACCTATTTTCAATATTGGATAGTTAGGCTTGTCAATTACTTTTGGTTCTTGACAAGCATAAATATTCAATATCGAAAACAGAAAAACAAATTATGTATATCCCAATTGTAATAAATATGGGCTAAATAGGAGACACAGACAGACAGACAGACAGACAGACAGACAGACACAGACAGACACAGACAGACACAGACAGACAGACACAGACAGACAGACAGACACACACACAGACAGACACAGACAGACAGACAGACAGACAGACAGACAGACAGACAGACAGACAGACAGACAGACAGACAGACAGACAGACAGACAGACAGACAGACAGACAGACAGACAGACAGACAGACAGACAGAGGATATCCTATAGCTTTTCTTGCTCAGATATTCAATGTTTAAAACTGTGTCATTAATATAACTTGTTTCCAGACTCACAATTACCTGTGTGGGCTAACATGGCTCTAGGTGAGTGCCTCCGTTTGAGGCATTACACACACTCTCACATTCTCACCATCCTGGGAGTTGGAGTCAGCCAAGATCAGTTTCATATTCTTTACCCCCGCATGTCCCAGTACATTCTCAAGACCGTGATATGCGATACGAGCAAGGTAAGGTATTTCTTTGATTCTTCCTATTCTGTAAAGAGTTTGAAATTGAGAGGACCAATTACTTGGCACTAGGTTTATCCCATATGGCTCAGTCTCTCCCAGCAGAGTGGCTTTCTCTGGCTGGTCACAAGATTAGAGTGTCACACAAAGAATCAAATGTAGCTTCAGTGATCTACTTGTAACTTAATGCCAGCCTTAGACTGGACCCAAAACCTTCATAGCAAGCTACATCAGCTAAGCCACTTTGTCACAGAAACCTCCAAATATTACATACACTTAGCTTTTTTCTTTTTTCTAGAAAAAAAATGGGTGCTGGTACTCACTACAATCTACAAAACAAATTTGCCATTGCTTACCAAAAAGTATCTATTGTACAAAATGCTCAACAAAATTATGCCTAAAAAGGGGTGCCAGTACTGTGTACCATAACATACCAACAGGATAAAAAAGCCTTTCCTATACTCTTCATTGCTTTAAAAGGTAGAAAAAATGCGTAATTTGTGGCAGATTGTGTGAGATATGAAATTCCCGTTTGTAGTAATTCATCATTTAGGATAAAATTCTCCAGCTGTCATACATGAAGTTTGCCAACCATCATAACTTTCAGGCAGCAATTAGTGGTTAGATGCTCCACTTGCTAGCCCAAGGGTCATGGTTTTTAATCCGCACTGGGTCAAATTAAAAAACAAAATTGACGATTCCCATGACAACCAAGTCTTAAATGGGCGCTAGGTAAACCCAGGAAATAAAGGCAGCTGGCTAGATGTTGATTACATATCCATCAAGGACCTATTAATCTTTAAACATATGAATTACCACCTTGCGCTCCATGAACCACTGGTGTGAAAATAGTCCTTTACTTTACGAAACATTCAGTCTCTATACATTGTGATAAAAGTCATCTATGCTTATTTATCAATGTAATTATTTTGTAATAGAGCTTTTAAACTATCATTGCCCCATGTGGGCTGCAGAGCCCCATTGTAGGGAAAACAAGAATAGAACCAATGCCTCCCCAACAAACATGTCATAGGAGTCGACTAATTGGGAGCTTCCTTCGAAGTCGAAGTGCATTTGCCCGAACAGCAAGGAACAACCAACCTCATCTTAACAGAAAATGGATGTACAAGCAAAACTCAAGGCCTGGCACAAAGTCCTAATAGATGTACAACCAGAATTGTCCCCCGGAGCTTACAGCCGGTGAACAAAGAAGAAACTATCATTAATTGTAATAACTGTTATCTCGTAATAAACAGTAACCATAATTTTTAATCTTTTAATATCCATAAGCAATCCATAACAACAGTAACTACAGTTTATATTTAATTCCTTTAGGAATTGAGCATCAGACAGCTGTTATCTTTTGGACAGCAAGCAGCAGAAGGAGTTACATTTCTGGCTTCAAAGGACATTACCCACAAGGACATTGCAGCTCGAAATTGCCTGTAAGTTTTTCACTGGAATTCTTATTTTTTTTTTTTAAACATTTGTTTCACATCCCTGATGTGTGCAAAGCTCCCTATTACACCACACACTTGTCAAGTATCTAGATTTACTCAGTAGTGTCACATTTACAAGTCACCGTTACCGCCCAACAGCAATAGAGGACGCCATCAAAGTAGATTCAATGTATTTTGACATCAGGACAATAAACGGCCTCATGAGAGACTAATTTCCATGACTGCTACAGTCATTCTCACTACCAATGCATACACACTCAGGATGCTCTGGAAGACTTTTACTGCCACCCTATGTCCTGTGGTTGCTACGGGCAAACACTACCCACTCACACAAATCCACTGCTTATGATTACGTGATACTCTGACACCTATCACTTGGATATACAGTCACTAATGAAATATACAGGCTGATCCACAATACTTTGTGTAGATTATCCAGACCCCTTCGTCTGCAACCTGACACTTACCTTGAGATCCCCTTGATCTCACCTAATGAACCTCCGTCACACTTGACCAGACTACTGCAGCATCTCCCGCAGATAGCCTGGACACTTAACACCAGCGTAGCACATAGGTGTGCAGGTCTAGTCTTGCAACACTCAGACCATAACATTCCTTCCACTTCAGCGACATAAAATGACAACTTCTCTGACTTCGTGGAGTCAACGGTCTCTCATCACTATATTCACTATCGCACCGCACAGTAGTTCATTAATGAATTTTCCCACGAGTTTCCTCCAGTTGCCCAGTTATACAGATCCTCGACCCTTTGAGCCCAGCTCATTTTTCTGTTTACATCTTAACTCCAAGGGACATGAATACATGGACTATATTATCAAGATAATGACACTTTCATGTCTCCAAATATTGCACACAACAATCTCTACCATTTCTCATGGACGATTTGGTGGCTCAATTTTTTCACTATCAAAAAGTTGAAACTTCATTTATCCCAAGCAGTTTAGCCTGAAAGCAATAGATAATTAGGTTTGAAGGCATTCAACAAAAGCACTGTGGACTGATGTGCTTAAATGAGTAATTCAAATACAGATTGTTCAATGGCATCTGTCTGTTATAGAAAATATCAAACAAATATTATCTTTGGAAACACAAAGAACTTCTTTTTCTTCTTGGCATTCACCAGCTGTAAACTCTGGCCGAAAGTTATGGTTGTTCGTTCACTCCAGAACTTTGGTCTTTATCTAAAGCGTGAGGTTTTTTTGTGCACATCCATTTTACAGTTCTGGCTTATTTATAAGCAGACTGTTGGTTCCGTGCCCCTCAGACAGATGTACTCCAACTTTGAAGGTGATACCCCTAATTAGTTGTTTCCTATGATAAGTTTGTTGGGAGACACCAGGTCTTTTCTTTGTTCCTAAAAGTTAAACCCCAAAACATAGGCAGTGAGAAAACACCAAGAACACCAGGGTGAGTTGTTTGGTACCGAAAGAGTTCAAGTAGATCATTGCACATGATTGTGATAGGAGTCTGATTGTGAGCCCTTCATTTATTCTTGGCCAGGGCACAATTTGAGGGGGTTCGGGAGGGGGAGGGGGCGGGTAATATCTTAGCAGATCAAATTTCCTTTCCTTAAAAATACGGTCTAAAATATGGTCTACTCACATGCAACTTCGTGTACTCATTTGTTTTTTTTTTCATTATCGGCCACAGTCATTGCAGTCTGTTAGCCCACAGGATGCCAGTAATTAGTATTAATCTGAACGGATCATATTTCCTTCAGAAACAATTATTCTGTATTCATCTTATGAGGCTGGATTCACTCCAAATGTATCAGTTGGACAAAATGAATTGTGCTCCTTTTAACACTGAATCCAGACCTCTGTCATGATAAGCGAACAGCATTGGCTTAGAGCCAGTACTTTGAATGCTGAGATACTGCTGCATAAATTAGTAAACAAAGTAATTGTTATGAAGATGGCAACATAAGAATGGAAGTGATGATTGATGATTGACTGAAACCTTTCCAGATGATAGTGTTATATTGCGCTGTGAAGAGGCGTAGAACTCACAGCCCATGGCGATGACGAGTATGACAAACCCACTTTAAGAAAAGTCTTCTACGGTTATAGCATGTGATTTTCTGGACTATTACTGACAACGTTTGTGTTTAGTCTGTTTCTTCTCAGACGCTCAGCTCTCCTTCTTTCTGAAATCATTTCTTCCTTCATTCTCATTGCCTTCCTGATGTGCCCACTCCACACAACACGGTCCATGGCATTTTGTTCCCATGAGTCCACCTTTATCATTCATGTCCATCATGCTTGCACACGTCTTTATATCATAGTAGAGGTCAGCCTCAACATCTTTTACTCATCTTCAATTCACCATAAAGGATGTCCTTAGGGACTCATCCTCCATTCTCCAGGTGTAACCCAGCCACCTGAGCCTTCCTAGACTGAGCATTGAGAAGACTGTTGTAATACCTGCTCTTTCCAACACCTCAGTGTTCATGATCTTGTCCTGCCACTTCATGTGAAGTATTCTTCTTAGGCATTGCATGTGAAAACTATTTAGCCATATATCCTGTTGTGAATAAGTTGACCAAGTTTCAATGCCAAAAAGCAGAGTACTGAGAACACGAGCCTGATAGACAAGAGTTTTTGCTTTAATCGTGAGCTTTCTGTTCTCCCAAACTCTTAGTAAGTAATGAGCCTTTCCTTAATTCTTCTTTCTTCTGCCTTTCTAGCCCCCAATGGAGCATGGGCCCTTAACCAATTCACTCCGAGCCGTTCTATCCTTTGCTATCGCATGGTGCTCTCCCCATGTCCTCCCCATCTTTCTAACTTCATTCTCCAGCTCCCTTCTCCATGTGTTTTTTGACCTTCCTTTATTCCTATGCCCCTGTAGGTGCCAATGCAAAGACATTGTAGTTATGCTGTTCCTTAATTACTGTTGAAGAAAATCTTGTCTTTTAAAGATAAATATTATAGAAGAATTCTTAGAATATCATGGAACAAGTAGAGGTAAAATACATTCTATAAAATATGAATATTGAATTTAAAAAACTTGCTCATAAACAGTTTCATATTTTGGAAACTTACCCACAGTGGCTGTTGGAAATCTGCAGTTGCATAGGAAGTGAAGAATGGAAAATATGGTTCCTGGAAGATTAGGCCGGGCTGAGCCGCTACAAATAACTTTTGATACATCAGCGTGAAAACCCAAAAAAGCAGGGGCTAAATGAACAACTGTCGAGAGGTTATCTGGTGAGGCATAATGAGAGTTCTTCTGCATGTTCACCGGTTATAAACACCGGCAGAAAGTTCTGGTTTTTCATCCACTGAGTTTTGCATGCATATCTGGCTTATTTGAATGCAGATTGTTGGTTCTTCGCCTCTCAGGCAGATGTACTCTGACTTTAATGGCAACTTCCCTAATTAGTTCACTTTAACAAACATGCTTAATGGGTTGAGAGGGGGGCGTTGGGGCTTTTCTCCCCAACAGACACACACAAGGCCCTGAAACTCACACTGGGAATAATGAGTGCAAAATTCAACAATATACCTACTTGATGAAAGCTGTGGTAATGCTAGACAATAAATGATGCAATCAGTCTGTTGTGTATTCTTTGATTAAATGTGTTCATGGCAAACACTGATTTATATATTTAACTGAGTAATGTTTGTTGTGATTTGTTCATGGCAAACACTGATTTATATATTTAACTGAGTAATGTTTGTTGTGATTTGTTCATGGCAAACACTGATTTATATATTTATTTCACTGAATAAAGTTTGTTGTAATTTGTTCAGGGTGGATGAATTCTCAGTGGTTAAACTGTGTGATGCTGCTTTCTCTTGGGACTTTTTTGAAAACGAATATGTATACGATGAACAACGAGAGCGCTACCTTCCAATCAGATGGATGGCCCCAGAGAGTATAAAAGATGGATACTATGACAAGAGGACAGATGTGGTCAGTTTAATGAGTTAGCTGTTTAATATAAATATTTGCTGGTGTTATTTGCCAGTTTGTCCGTTTTAAAATGTGATGAAGTAAAATGCTGTTGAATTGTTATAGTTAAAAAAAATGTGTAATGTCACCAAAACCCTTTTCCTCATGTAGTAAAGTTATTAACAGTTTAACCCTACCAAACCGCGGGCCCTAATTTTACGGCTATTTGCGTAGTGCATGAAAAAGATGCGTCACAAACTAAAAATAACTAGCCAATCGATCAGACATCGTGGATAGTCTTCCTAGATGTCTGCCCTCGTGTGTTTGGATAAAATTTGTTGTTTTACGTGAAAAAATTCTGAAAATTCACAATGAAACGAGCGGCTGATGAACCAAGCACTTTGACAGGAAAGTAAATTAGGTCTAGGTTTTTCACAGTTCAACAGGTGATCGATACTTTGCTTTATTCAGACTCTGTGGAGTCATAATTTCATGAAAAATATATTCACAGTTAAAGTGACACATTCAGCTCGAATAATGAGGAGAATCTTGAAAATTATAAATCTAGAAATAGATCGGTAGTAAGAGAAGGGGGCGTGTCCCTCAAACAGTAACATCTGGTGCTCATGTCCAGGAGCTCAAGTATAGGGGACAGTTAGATTCAGGGCCTCAGGTCTGGTAGGGTTAACCGTCGTTGCAAAGAGGTTAAATAAAATGTGTCATGGCCTTATGGGATTTCTGAAAAAAAAAAAACAATAAAAAAAAAAATAAAAAAATTCAGAGGTCACTAATACATTGGTGTTTTTTTTGTATCTTCGTTTGTAAATATTTTTTTTTTTTTGAGGGGGTGTTGCAAATTTTCAAACAATCTATACAGGGAGTAATGAATAAACACAAACAAAATAAAGTATTAAATGGAATAAATTTCGAGAGCCTAAACAATATATATTGGGTGACTCATGTCAAAAACCTGTGACATATTGATGTGAACTTGGCTTTTGAACCCTGCACCATGGCATTACAAAGTGTGCTCACAGTGTCTAACCCACAAACCCTGATGTGTGACAAGCTAGATGTTATAAAGGCCCTTTGGGAAAATTTGAACAGTGTGGAGCCCAAAACAGGTCACCATGGTCTAAAGAGAATGATGCAGCGAGGGGTGACCGTGGGATATGGGTGAGATTCCACATAAAATGGCAGCTGGCACACTGTGTTGTAGTTTTCAGCTAGGCTGTGATGCATGTGCTTTTTGGCCCAGCTCATCCAATTTCATGCATGTGCCTTTTGGCCCAGCTCATTCAGTTTCATGCATGTGCCTTTTGGCCCAGCTCATCTTATTTCATGCATGTGCCTTTTGGCCCAGCTCATCTTATTTCATGCATGTGCCTTTTGGCCCAGCTCATCTTATTTCATGCATGTGCCTTTTGGCCCAGCTCATTCAATTTCATGCATGTGCCTTTTGGTCTAGCTCATCCAATTTCATGCATGTGCCTGTTGGCCCAGCTCATCTTATTTCATGCATGTGCCTTTTGGCCCAGCTCATCCAATTTCATGCATTTCCCTGTTGGCCCAGCTCACTAAACTCCTAATAAGTTGCCTTTTACGACACACTTGTTAGGAGGCAGTGGGTCTGTTCTATCTTCCCCAAACATGAGTCCCCAAACCCACTTAAGAAAGTTGGGCATACAATCTGACTGCTACTGGTACCATCAGAATAGGAACTCTACATCCGCTGTTAAAGGTAGGGTCAGAGAACATATGGGAATGTCCCGAGTGCCAAGTCAGTTCTTAATTCATCTCAACTCTATTACCGCAGTCACTTGCAATACTGCTGTTATACCAATGGCCATTTTCAATGTTTGTGTGTTTTCAGTGGTCATTTGCAGTATTGGTGTGGGAGCTGCTAACAAGAGGTTGTCTACCTTACCACGATGCCACCAGCTCACAGGATATCAGCAACTACATCACCCAAGGCTACATCCTGGGAAAGCCAGACATACTCAGTGACAGAATGTAAGTGTGACTTCACTGACTCAAAACTAAATGAATGTTGATGTTCTGTCAGCAGTAAATCAGTCCTGAATATTTTATGTTTAAAATAAAAATAAAAATCAGTAGCATATCCTTTACTGGATGTCACAGAACCAATCCCAGCATTTTGGGCCAGAACGGTTTTACTAGGCATTTTAACTCTTTGAGTCCCATGAGGTTTAGCATCACAGGTCCAGAGGGTGGTCAAGAGAGATGTAAAATCGGAGCATCTTGCGTTTATTGGGCTTCTAGGTAGGATTCTAGGTAGGCAGTCTCTGCTGCCTTCCACTGGCTTGAGAATCAGCTGTATCACATGCCCAGATTGTAGCTGATTCCCAGAGCATGTTAAGAAAAGTGGAGAGGTCTGCTTTGGGCAGAGTGGCAAGCATCACTTCAGAGGTCCCAGGTAGTTAGCATCCTTTAGATATTTTTTCCAGGTGTTGGGGAAATGAGCAGGCAGATAAACTGGCCAGCTCTGCACCACTTGGTAGTGAAATCATGTATGACAAGCTAGATATTGTAAGGGCCCTTTGGGAACGAGTGAACAGTGCGGAGGCCGAGATAGATCAATACGGTCTGGGGAGAATGACGCTGCCAGAAGTTACCAGGGGATCTGGCTGACGCTTAACACTCAGAAGGATGAGATGGATATACAATCAGATGGTTACTGGTGCCATCAAAATTAGAACTCTTAGCTTGCTGCTGAAGATGGGGACGAAAAACTTATGGCAGTATCCACAGCGCTGTGATGTCAATTCTTAATTCAGCATTCAACTCTTGAGGAAATGGACTGTATAATTTTAATCTTGCTCTCCTCAGATATGATCTGTTGTGCAGTTGCTGGACTGAAGAAAATGAACAGCGACCGGACATCGCTGCAGTGTCCAAGACTCTCAAAAACATGTTAGAGACTGAAGATGATGGAACTTATGCAAATGTTGGGGAAGTTGCTGCGCACTCGATGCAAAACTCTAAAAGAAACTCTGTGCAGCTGAGACGGTCTCCTGGCGGTGACCGAGGCAAAACATACAGCACTTCCAGACTTAGCGACGTTTAGCCAGGGCTTCTCAGCCTTACCTCGAGCTTTCAATGCTGTTGTTTACCAGTTGTTTGCAAGATAGTTTATTAACTGTTCACCAGCGGATAGTGTTGTTTACTAACACTGTTTTTGTTTACCAGCTAATTGACAAACATTTCTATTTGAAAGTGTGGCTATGTGGTTTTGAGGTCAGTGAATGTGGTTAAAAATTTCGGACAATGATACGAGAGTTGTGCCATGGAAGAGATTGGGGCCTCAGCATGCAATATTCCCAAAGACAATAGTGGTACAAAGTAGCCAACGTTCATTGTGGAGACAGCACAGAATTTAAATTTAGATTTGAAATTAACAGCAAGTGCAAGTTCGGGTTTGTGTGACTTCATAGAATGATTTCATCTGATGGAAACATCAGTGCAAACACTAAACAAATCCATCAAGCTTAGCTGGTCTGTTAGGCTGCTGTCACCAATATTACAGAACACAAACAAGCAGCTGATACAAAAAATAATCTTTCAGAATAGATTTACTTCTTGTGCTGAGGTAACATTTGAAAACATTGCTACAGAAATTAAATGACTGTGATATAGTTTAACACACACACAAAAATAACAGAAAAATAATGGCGTGTGTGAGTATAAACACATACGCATACTTATAAATAAACAAGTCAGTGTACTAGAAATTTAGGTTTCAAAATACAGAATGATATGGCATCATTTGACAACTACTTTATGGTAAAATTTCACAGGATGCAGTATTGCTCATATGCAATAAGAAAATTAGCAAACCATTTGACAATTAAAACTACCGGTGAACACTATAACACTTGCATGACACACGTTAGAAAAAATTAATAAGCTTTCAATTTCAAAGGAATAAGAATTGGACATCTAGGCCTGTCTTACATGAAGGCCTGTCTTACGCTCTGTAGATGTCTTGATATCCCAACAAAGAGAGACAAACATAAAAACTTTACAAGTCATAGAATATAACCTATGTGAGTTGTTATTAGAAGAGTTTGGATATTTATTTTGGATATTTACTAGTTGCTGGCCCAGTTCTATTCATCTTAATGAAACATTACTCTGAAGTGGACGGGTGTTTGTATTAGATCCAGGAACCCGCAAAGTTGTCAGTTGTTTCAGATGACCGCAATAGGCTTTATTTTTGAGTGAAAATCTAGAAGTGTTGCTTGAACATGCAGCTGAATTCTGGCCACTTCATATCAATCAATAAGTCAGCATTTTCTTTACAGAATGTAGCTCTCTTCTCAGCATGCCTGAAAGTCTCTCTTTCTCTAACCAAGTGTCTAGCGTTCTGTGCTTTCCTAGCCTATGCATCTACAATGTCCTGTATCCACCTTTGCGGTGGTTGGCTTCTCCCTCGTATAATTCAGATACAGTGCAGTAAATGAAATGTCAGCCACATATTGAAGAGAATGATATCCTTGTGGTGGCTAGACAACCTGAAGATTTTTGATTTGAATGCACATCAAGTCGGATATCGTCAAGAATGACTTTGGCTTCCAGGTGACACCAACTCAAAGGAGCACCAGGTAAAGTTCTGAGAAGTCAAGGCGGCTTCTGAGATGTCAACTCCATGACCTACAGAGAGCTAATTTGTCTATACAAAAAAAATCAGTCTAGTAAAACATGCCCCAAGTACTCTTGTGTGAAAAGAGTCCTTTGTCTACATATTGTTAATATCCTCATTGTATGTACAGAAACACCCCAACACAGCAGGACACACCCAAAAAATAATATTTTCACTGTTTGCACTATCCAATAAAAAGTCCAGTATATGCCCACGTGATCAGTTTTGGTATATCATAAATAGGGTTTCACTGCCAGATTCTTGTAAGCGATATTTGTTTTTTTACTTGGGTAAGTGCAAACTAGGCAAATTATTATTTCCTTTCTGTGTGTGGGTGAGAAAGAGAGGAGGAGAGAGTGGGGAAAGATAGAGGGAAAGACAGAAAGAAAATGTGAATGCTGTGAAGACTGGCAGATGTCTCCTACACAAATATTGGGAATTTGTCATGAAGATATTTCATATGATTGAGAGAAATGTGTGCACAGGAGTGCATGCTATCACTGAAATGGTTGACAATGTTGGCATAATTATTTGGAGATGGAACTACTACTTCTTAGTTTTCACCGGGTGTAAATTCTGGAGAAAGTTCTGTCTGTCTGTCCAGTTCTGGTTCTTTGCCGCTCAGGCAAATGCACTCCAACTTCAAAGAAAATGACCCTAATTATTTCCCTTTTAAGAATTGCTTGTTGTTATGGCAGTGAAACTTGGCTAACTTATTTGCTCCAGGAGAAATGGCTAAATAGCTTTCACATGCGATGCTCAAGAATAATATTTGGCATCAAGTGGTAGAACAAGTTCACAAATGCTGAGGTTTAGAAAAGAGCAGGTACAACAACAGTCTTCTCAATGCTCAGTCTACGAAGACTCAGGTGGCTGGGTCACACCTGGAGAATGGAGGATGGCAGAGTCTCTAAGGACATCCTCTATGGTGAATTAAAAATGAGTAAAAGATGTTGAGGAGGCCAACCTCTACTATGATATTCAGATGTGTGCAAGGGGGAAATGAATGATACAGATGTTGAGGCAGACTGGTGGGAACAAAATGCTACGGACTATGTTGTGTCGAGGAGACACATCAGGAAGGGAATGAGAATGAAGGAACAAATGAATGCAGAAAGAATGAGAGCTGAGCATCTGAGAAGAAACACACTGGTCCTGAAATCCCTTGCTATAATTGTGGAAGACTTTTCTCAACACTGGCAAGTCTTGCTAGTCACACTTGTCATCGCCATGGGCTGTGAGTCTCATGCGTCCTCATAGCGCAATATTGTATGGAAAGACGGAAAGGTGCCAATCTAAAATTGTGGTGTAGATATTAGTGAACATGTTTAACAACTTCATGACATTTCAGCATTAAGGTACGATTTCAGTGGTGGGGCAGTTAAAAACCTATTCTTGGAGCCACATATTTTTTTATTTTTAAATGATGATTCCTGTGTGATCAGGTCCCATGGACCTTTTTTGACTCATCATGTATTGGTCACAGTTGCAAAATGTAGTTTGTTAATCATTACAAATTGTATCTTATCATCACACTACACAGAGGTTAGTTGTGTATCCTTTACAGGACGTTGCAGAACCAACCCCAGCAGTCCCTGGCTGTTGTGTGGTTTCTCTAGGCAAATTTACATCCAGTAGTTTGCCATTGCTTTCTGGATGGTCGGCCCCCTGATACCACTGTTGAAACCAATGCAAGGCACATGACCTGCAGCTGGGATCAAACCCAACATTACAAAGTGCGTTCGCAACGCTTAAGCCACAGACACCTCATTGTAGAGGCCACATAATTTATTTTTACTGATTTTTCCTGTGTGATCAAGTCCCATGGACCTTATTTGACTCATCATGTATTGGTCACAGTTGCACAATGTGGTTTGTTAATCATTACAAACTGTATCTTATCATCACACTGGACAAGTATAGGCAAAATCTCTGGTAGTTATGTTGCTATATTTCTAAACTGGAAAGTAAAAGCAACCATTATTTATCACACTCTTTTTTAATATACCCTCTTTATAGAAAAAAAAGCATATAATATCTAGTATTATGTATGAAGTGACCTAAAGACCATTTTACACATACTCCTTTTTCTGTTACTCTGGGAGTATTTTCTCAAATAGTCACTTGTTATTTTATTAAGTCAATCTGACAATGAATGGGCTTCATAGATTCTTCTTCTCTTCTACCTTGAACCTCATTGAAGTGTCAGGGGGAGATGTAATGTTCGTTGATGAGCTCTTTCAAGAGCACTATTAAGACTGATGTTCATTTCTGTAAGGCTGTTCTTAATGCCATCACTCCATCTTTTCCGTGGTCTTCCACTCGCTCTATACCCGTTGTAACGTTTTAGTGTGGCTCGCTGTGGCAGATAGTACCAGGGCATTCTTGTTAGGTGTCCAAACCACTTCATGTATTGTTCTTTGATGACCTGTAAGACTGGCTTTATTCCTAGCATTCGTCTGATTTCATAGATTACCAAACATAAAACCCTCATAAACATGGTTTTCTTTTAACCCTTATATCAAATGCATTAAGAGACATCTTTAGTGGATGAACATCGCTCCCATTAGGGCACACCTGAAAGTTTTCTTTTGTCTTTAATGCCTTTAAGAGACATTCAAAACTAGAGGGAAATGAAAAAGATAAACCTGTTCAGTGTGCCACTGAAGTCTCTCGCGTGGGTTCCATGTGGGTGGGGGAAGAAGGGGGGATTCAACAGATCCCCCCTAACAGGTAAGGTGTAAAAGGTTTTTCTTAAAGTTGGAGTGCATCGCTTGAGGCGAGGAACAAACATTCTGCATGTCTGGTCTGTAAAACAGATGTGCACAAACAAAAGTCCAGAAGTGGATGAACGAAAAGAACTTTCTCCCAGCGTTTACAGGTAAACGCAAAGAAGAACAAAAATTGTACAATAATTTTGTTAATGAGAATGCGGCCTTGACTCCCCCTAGTGAGGCTGATTTTCCCAAATTACCAGGTCGACATTATCTAAAAAAAAAAAAAATGAATACGAGCAGGACACACTGAACTGGTCTAGCGAACAGGATATGCTGAATTAGTCTTGTGAATATGGAGTTTTATCATTATACATGCCTAGTATGCATCAATATGTAGGAAGAAATGGGGGTCCTTTCTCTCCTTTTTATAAACAGAAAAATAACTTCCTTAATGTGTAACAAGATTTCTTGCATCTATTTCCCTCATCTTCAACCATTCTCTTAGAGAACTGCTAGAACAAGCAAGCAAGTTTTTGGACTGTTCAATATGGATTTCTCATAGATTTAAGACCTATTTTTAAGATGGCACTAATTTGACACATTATCGAGATATAATAATCTGATGGGTGAAATGGCTAGATGTTCTTGCCTGCAGATCCAAAGGTACTGGGTTTGGGTCCTGACGGGGGTGGACTGTTTTTTGAAAAAAAAAAGATCATGGATTCCAAGTCAACCCTGCTAGAAATTGGTAACCGATATAGTCTGACCACATCACCCACTGCTGCTGATTGGTCTATAAAATACAGGTTTTGCCCAGTATGCCTGAAGGCGGGAAACAGGGTCCTTTATTTAATATAAAATTTGATGTGATATTACCATTAACAGTGTTAAGTGTTGGTCATAATTTTTGTGATGGTTGAGAAAACTGAGCTGCGACTGGAAAAAGTGTGTGTGTGTGTGAACAAACTTTATTTTCAAAGCAAACTGGTCGCAATCAGCCTTTCACTCACATCAAGTTTCCCCAAAAAAAAAATTTTTAATATAACATGTAGACCAGGGCTAATCAACTAAGTTTACTTGCAGGCCAAAATCTTGAAAATGGGGATCGTCGTGGGCAAGTGGCCCGATCCAAGTGTGGGAAGATTATTTACACTACATTTGAGAAAAACTGTCAATGTGTAAACTTAATACCCTCTAAGACTGTTACGCCTAGGGCCTAGCCTACCGTAATATAAATTAAACAGTATCGTAAACCATTATAATGTAAAATGTACTACAATAATTTCTAATGATTAAAAAAATACTCACTTTTAATGAAAATACACCTATTTCCAACTTGTCGTTTGAATAATTAATGAATGTTAGCATCGTCACTTCAGTTGCATTGTCATAATAAAAATAGTAATACAATTAATAATAATTGCCCACAGTTCGTTTCATATGGCTTTGTGCAGAAAAAAAAACTGAAAGCTATAACACAGCTAAATGTAATTAATGGGAAAAGTTGCATTTCCATTTTTGAGCTAATTTTATAAAATTTGGTTGGTGAGAAGTAAGAGCAATTCTCATGCAATCCTGCAGCCTATCATTGCTCAGTGAGCTCCGACTGTTTGTCTTGATGATGTTCATATATGAAGAAAAGCTTGATTCACATGTGAAAGTTGAACCAGACATGGTGAGTATTAATATGGCAACCTTTCTAGCATTAGGGAACTACTCCTGTTGAATCGTTTCGGACCAAAACTTGACGTACCACTTTCTTGAAAATCTTCATTCAGTGCGCTGGAACTTTGCAAATCCACAAGTTCTAACTGCAGAGAACCTTCACCAACAGAGGATAACCGCTTTTTAGCATTTGAAAAAAAATGACCTGCAGGGGGGTTTTAAAAAGGATCTTGAACGAACAACATTACATTGTTTAGGATATTGAAGTCTTCAATGGCAACTGACAACAATTCTGCCTGCTTTATGCTTTCAATTAAAGATTTAAAAACTTCAGTTCCTAAAAATTTTTGATTCTGCGTATCGTCGAAGTATCCGACATAGGGATTTTCTTAACTGCATGTGCCACGCTTGTTTTTATTTTATCATCAACTGCTATTTTGTCCAGAATTGCTAGTATGCATTCTTTCACGGTTTCTGAGTCAGTGAAAGGCCGCTTCTTTTTGGCTAATATCCACGAAACGTGCAAAGAAGCTGTTGTAGCTTTTTCTCGTTGAGTACAAGCTCGCACAAAAATTCTGCTGCTATGCTGATAAGCAGCAATTAACGACTCAACCTTTGATTTCCTAGCAGTGAAACCTTCTGGATATGATTTTCCAAAATCAGCAGGTTTCGTTGTAAAGTGCTGCTTCACGTTGTATTCCTTTACTGCGACACACATTCGTTGCATAGCAAGCACATTTGTTTCGAATCAGGCATAGTTGGTGATATAAATAAATATTTCAGGGTCCAGTAATTGTTGAACGTACGATTTTCACACTCCCACTTAGCTTTCTTATAGTACCAGCCATGGCATCAAGTATTTCACTTAATTATTAAAATGTAGATAACCTAAAACACTGTTACTGTTTCAGTTTGTTACTCCACAATTGCGTCCGGCAGTTTACATCTGTCTGTGATGAAAAATCTGATTTTAATCTGACAACAAGATCAACAAGGTATTCTGCGGTGTCAAGTGTCACTAATGTTATGCAGCATCCATTGTCATTAGTCTGTGTGTACAAGTGGACAACTTTTAGAATGAGTTCCTCAGTGATCTAAGCGCTTACTATCTGGACCGGGCTTGTATCTCCATCCGCCTCCTGTCAAATAAATATCTTACCTTCATTGACTGTCCATCGGAGCGACTGCTCCCTACCGTGGTTACTTGATTCTTTCAAGCCTATCTTTGGCTGCAAACAGGCGATTTCTGCTATTTGAAGTAACTTTTACCTTGAACTAATTACATTTCCATGCCTGAGAGATTCCCGCATTTGTGGTATTGCCTTCGCGGGCCAGATATGCGGCGCAGTTTGCCGCCAGTTGAATAGCCCTGATGAGACCAAACAAACACACATGCACACACACTCATTTTACACACACACCCATAAAATACATACGGATGGATGGACAGGACACAACCACACCATACACACACACACAAACAGGAAGCATGCACTCAGCATACCTGTGCGCTCACACATACACACCCACAAAAAACATTCATACATGATACCCGCCCACTTAAGAGAGAGAACATAGAAAACATAAAGTTGAGGTTCTTCCATCATTACATGAACTTTATTATTCTTTTCAGCTTTCCTGTTATGCTAAACTGTCACATATTTACTGTATAAACCCACCAAAACACACAAATATGCAAAAATCCTTGGCATTTAGGCATTATGTAGGCACAAATAATTTGTGCACAATGTCATTGCATCTTATGTAGACTACAGATACAGGTTGGCCTATTGACTGAAAGGTCCATCTTTTGTTCATATCCCCTTTAGATATAAAGAGGATTTTTTTTTTATTCACACATTGCACGTGGATGCTAAGCTAAAGTGGACACATATCTCTAGGGCACAGTGTGACCAAGACTCACCACAGCTTCTCACAACATGGCAAGTTTCTAACTACTGTTTTTGTTATATGCTCAATCATCCCCTCTGTCCGTCATGGTGTTTTCCTTTCTGTCTATCAAGATTTCTGCCTGAACCCTCTGGTGGTTTGTAGCTGTTGCCCAGGAAAAGATGCTCCCCTGTAATAGCAAACCAGCTTGATAGAACCAGAAACATCATCAGAAACAAGCAGCTTTATTTTAAATGTCTTAATCAAAAACCTCACAAGTCAACCTAGCCAGATACTGTCCTGGGAACTAAAGGCAGCCAGAATGATGCTGACCCCATCATCCATCAAGTACCGAATGGTCTATGACCCCATCATCTATCAAGTACTGAATGGTCTATGATCCCATCATCCATCAAGTACCGAATGGTCTATGACCCCATCATCCATAAAGTACCGAATGGTCTACGACTCCATCATCCATCAAGTGCCGAATGGTCTATGATCCCATCATCCATCAAGTGCCGAATGGTCTATGACCCCATCATCCATCAAGTGCCGAATGGTCTATGACCCCATCATCCATCAAGTGCCGAATGGTCTATGACCCCATCATCCATCAAGTGCCGAATGGTCTATGACCCCATCATCTATCAAGTGCCGAATGGTCTATGATCCCATCATCCATCAAGTGCCGAATGGTCTACGACCCCATCATCCACCGAGTGCCGAATGGTGTGACCGCATCATCCGCCGAGTGCCCAATGGTCTATGACCCCATCATCCACTGAGTGTCAAATGGTTTATGACCATATCATCCACCGAGTGCCGAATGGTGTGACCGCATCATCCGCCGAGTGCCCAATGGTCCATGACCCCATCATCCACTGAGTGTCAAATGGTTTATGACCATATCATCCACCGAGTGCCGAATGGTGTGACCGCATCATCCGCCGAGTGCCGAATGGTCATGACCCCATCATCCACTGAGTGTCAAATGGTTTATGACCATATCATCCACCGAGTGCCGATGGTGTGACCGCATCATCCGCCGAGTGCCCAATGGTCTATGACCCCATCATCCACTGAGTGTCAAATGGTTTATGACCATATCATCCACCGAGTGCCGAATGGTGTGACCGCATCATCCGCCGAGTGCCCAATGGTCTATGACCCCATCATCCACTGAGTGTCAAATGGTTTATGACCATATCATCCACCGAGTGCCGAATGGTGTGACCGCATCATCCGCCGAGTGCCGAATGGTGTGACCGCATCATCCACCGAGTGCCGAATGGTGTGACCGCATCATCCACCGAGTGCCGAATGGTGTGACCGCATCATCCGCCGAGTGCCCAATGGTTTATGAACACATCATCTACTGAGTGCCGACAGGTCTATGAAAACACTAATTTAGCATCATATGCCCCAAACAATTTAGCATCATATGCCCCAAACAATTTAGCATCATATGCCCGAAACAATTTAGCATCATATGCCCCAAACAATTTAGCATCATATGCCCCAAACAATTTAGCATCATATGCCCCATAAAGAAGGTTAACATTTTTTTTTTTATAAAAAAAAAAGCGTTGGATTACCAATTGACATCACAGCGCTCAGGACATTCCCATAAGTGATCCATCCCATCTTCAGCAGCAAGCACAAAGTTCTAATTACAATGGCAGCAGCAGCAACAGTCTGTATATCTCTCTTATGTCTCCCTTGAATGCTCTGATCCACTGGTCACTCCTTGCAGCACCATTTTCCTCATAAGGCGACTATCTATTTGCGCCTTGCACTGTTTACTCCCTCCCAAAGGACCCTTACTTATCATATGCATCAATTCCCCACCATGTGGTGTATAACAGCCAATCTGCCTGTTCATGTCCTAATACACCTACAACCTGAAGAAAATTTCCAAAGGATGCTAACTATTCTGGACTTTTAAAGCAATGTTTGCCATTCATCATGCACCATAATTATCTCCACCTTTCTCAACATTCTCTGTGAATCAGCGACAATAAAGATATGTGGCGCACAGTTTGGGAGTCACAGTTCTAGGAAATCAAGCTAACTAGTGTGATACTGACAGCATCATCCATCATGTGCTGATTGGTTCAGAAAGCACCAAATGTACACCATATAGCCAACGGTCATTTGTTTGAATCATCAATCATATTAAGGTGATTTTGAAAGAACTACATACAAACGACAAAACAATGTCAGCTTACCTCATTCATTCGTTGGTGCTGCAAAGCCACTGACCACTTGACAGTCAGATCATACAGCTTGTCCTTGACCTGTAAACATAAATTTCTGGGTTGATAACTTTCCTGTCATTTGTAATCTATTAATTATCATCATCATGTGTCAGTTTCCAGAAAATTAGGCAGACCAGACCTCCGCAATATGGATACAAGACTTTGAAGATGCATTAGCTATGAAAGCACATATGGCTGTAGAACTGGCTAGAGAAATATAGACTTTCAGGTGTTCTGTGGCGAGAGCGATGTTCTGTAAAGAACTGCTGATTGATGATGCTGATGTGGTCATGCTGGGGCTGCATTAGCGCAGTCGATAGGAAACTCGCTTTAAAATCCAGCTGCGACTCGCAGCCCACAGCGGTGTTCAAAACCGGGCGGTTCCCAGGGTTCACCTAGCCTCCAGGTTAACAGAGTTAACACTCTGGGGTAAATGGAGGAGCGTCGCTGTAGCTACAGATTTGCGTGCCGTTTATAACCATGTATAATGACGCTGGTTCATATCTGGCAACTTTTCATTTTTTTTGTGTCATGCTGGTGAGCATAAGCAGCCATGGTTTCACATCTCACATGATCTTAGATCAAAACATGCTCTTCGGGCAGTTCTGATTGCAGTTTTTACATATTTATATAGACCATTTATCAACTGCCAACTGGTCTAACAAAATAAACATCTAGCCACCATGTACACGCTATAACTGACGATATGGGATAAGACAATAATTACCGTGGACAAGTCCAGCTCATGAACTCTGTCTCTGATTGTTTCCAGTATATGGTTCATCTGATTCAGGAGATATTCCAAATGCTTCTGCAAAAGTAATATTTCAGTGAATCACAACACAATTAAATCAGGGAGTTTCAAAACTGTGTGACTTCTGGGAGGCTCTTCACAACTAGGCCAGGCCCACTGAATAATGACCCAGAGCCAATTGCTTGAAATTTCCAACTCAACTCTTTTATTTGGTGGACTGACAGGCATTCATCACCTTAATGATGATTTTCTATGTTTCACCCCTTCAATGATAAACAAAATGGATAAAGGAATGCTATTTCTCTTTGGAGCATGACAAAAGTGGGATGGCATCTTTAAACTGTCATTTTAATGTCACCGTGTTTGTCTTCACCATTATGTCATGTGCATTAACATTCTTAACAACAATACTGACAGGTTACTATCCCAGGTTTAAGGTTTTCACCTGAAGTCTTCCCAAACATACACTCTAGACAGACATCCAATGACTGACTGATGTACCTTCTAGTAAGACCAACATCTTACCTTCTGTGCAGCTGCTATGCTTGTGATGTCTCCAATAGACATTTCTAGCAGTTTCAAAACGGAGTATGTCTTGTAGAGATCCTTCTTCACCAGATGATGCAGCTTCACTACCAGCGTGGAGGGCTGACCTCTCTGTACAGGTACACCTAGCTCTATCACATCCATGAGCTGCAGAACAACATCACTTGAAGAGTGTAGATGCTCACATTGCAGATTTAAACAAAACAAAACACAAACAATTTTAATGAAAAGCACTGGACAATTACTGAAAGACAAGGACCTTTTTCACTCCAGTGGTGCATAGAGCATACAATGCTAGGTTCATATTTTATAGATCCTTGTGGAAAGATTGACAGACTGCTGTCTTAGCATATCTAGCATACACACACAATAAAGCATACGGTAGCCATCCGAAGTGCTAACACAAACAGTTTGACATTAGAAATGCAGTTCACCATTGATGGTAGCAGAAGTCACCAACAGATCAGCAGTTACCCACGCAATCAATTTTAATCATATACGGGCACCACCAACATTGCAACAACAGGCATCAGGGTCGTGCCATTTTCTGAATCTACAATTCACACCACCATGTTGGTCACAGTCGAAAAAACATTCCACAGTGTCACGCCATGCATTCAACTCAGAAGCTAGGCGACAAAACTATATCCAGTCTAAAAGTGGAGCAAAAATGCATCGGCCACCGTCCGGCAGAAGCAAAAAAATTTGCCTCGGCTCAAAAAAGTGCTCCTGCCTAGCATACTGGTAATGTTAACAGGTTCAATAAGGAATTATATTTAGTTTATTCTGTGGGCAGGATTATCTACCAAACCTATAACAATCATGAATTAACATATACTTCACACAGGGTATATATCTCTAAGGACTAAGGATTAGTACTATCTAATGTATGGCATAACAAAACAAAATTCATAAAAACAAGGGTATGGACAGACATTGTAGATGTGTGTTCACTGGTTTGGAATATATTTACGTTTAGCTAGTCCTTCTTTAAGTATGTGCTTGCTTTATTTTTAAACCAAAACACAGCCTGGAAAACTGGGGAAAGATATCCCACTGACCAAAAGCCTTTGAAAGATTTTTATAGCAGTGTGATCTGACTGCCTAGAAAATCTGCGTCTGGTCTTAAATGTTACAGAAAGATTCTTTGAGTACCATAGATCCAGATAATGATAAATTATGGTATCCTTATGATCTGAATATCGACAAGAACTGGCTCATAAACAGTGTAGTGAGTTGTAAAGTTAAAATCCTTATGCCATTTTAAACACCATGACGATTTAGAGAAAACAGTACTGGAGGGTATGGTTCCTGGAAGAAGAGATGGGTTGACCAGTACAACAGTGCACTAGAGATACCAAGAACACCCTGAGCATGAAAGTTTACAAGCCAGGAACATTGGCAGGGGACTGAGTGGTTTTCAGGTCTACCATGATGACAGGTTAATGTGTATGCTATAACAGTGTTGGGTTACTTGTGTTTGGGATGCACACGTTGTCTTGGAGCTGACAATATGAGCCACTGCCGTTTAGGCAGTAAAATGCTCCTTAACATAGATCTTTCTAAATGTTTACCAAAGAAATGGTTATCTATAAAGAAGACAACTAACCTGTAGCTGCAACAGTTTAGAGTCCTCCAGTTTAAGTGGCTTACACATCAGAAGATTATACAAGAAAACATAACTCAGCAGCATTTGTAAGTAGCTTGCTCTAGGTTGCGAACAGATTATACTGGCTAGGTAGGCTTGGTTGTGATGATGGTCAGTCACCTTGCTCAGCCGCCTGCACAACTCTGGCACCTGGGAAATTAATATGCAATAGTTATTTAGACTGGCAGCCTACACATTCATTCATTCACGAATTAATTAATTCATTCATTCATTATCCTGTTGTGAAATTATGTGTCACACAGAGCTTACAGTTTATTTATTTCTCTGTTCAGTTCTATCCTATCATTTTGATATCACTGATGAAATCTATTCCAGCACCTTTGACGTCTTTCATCAAAGTTCACCTTAGGATAGTCTATATAAGAGAACATTAATAGGACACTGCATCTGCTGTCTCTACAATGGAGGGTGGCGGCGACAGATATATGAATCCATTGCTGTCTTTAGGGACATTTTGTGGTGAGGCCGCTAATTCTTCCATGTTGCAACTCTCATACAACTTTCCAAAAACCACGAAGAACTGCCTTTTTTCACAGAAGTGAAACCCTGGTATGTCAGGGATTGTGAAAATACACTCATTGACCCATAAGCCACACAGTAAATGATTATCTTGTCTGAATCTTCTTCTAGGTGTATTTTTTTACATTGGCTTCCAGGTTGATACTGCCTAAAACAAGTCCCAGCAAATGTCCTGGGAAGTAAAGGTGTCAATAGGATGTTGACTATACCTCATAATTTGTTTATTGGTCTACATCAATGGAGGGTCTATTAACACAGTGTCTATGTGCTAATGATGTTAAAAGTCTTTACTTTCCTTTTACTGATGACCTTACCACAGGTCCTTGATCACATCTGGCATTGTCTATGTGCTAGGTGTTGAAAGTCTTTACTTTCCTTTTACTGATGAACTTACCCCAGGTCCTTGATCACATTTTGCATTGTCTATGTGCTAATGGTGTTGAAAGTCTTTACTTTACTTTTACTGATGACCTTACCCCAGGTCCTTAATCACATTTGGCATTGTCTAAATGCCAATGGTGTTGAAAGTCTTTACTTTTACTAATGACCTTACCCCAGGTACATGATCGCATATGGCACTAACAGAATATAAAAGATGTACTCAGAAATAAACCTATCCCAGAACTCAGAGATGCAGAAGACATAGTTATTCTTTCCAACAGGGTAAAAGGTTTACAAAAATTAATTCTGACACTTAAAAATTACAGTGAGGAAGAGAATCTTTTCTAAATTTGAAGAAGAAGAAAAAGTTCAAAATAAATACAGCACACCCACCATGTTTTAAAATTGATGATGAAAAGATTGAAAATTTTAAACATTTGTAATATTTAGCCTCTACAGTGAACAATAATGATGACCGTATAGAAGATCCAGAAAAAGACTTGCTTTAGCTATGCTGAGACTAACCTGCATGAAGAACATATGTTACAGCACCTACAAGCGAGATAAAGTAAAAATTAGGATCATGCATCTTTCCTGTGGCAACTTATGGATGTGAGTCAGATAAGAAACAATCAGAGCTTATGAACAGAAAAGCAATAAAAAAAACGTCTTAGAACACCACGGACCAAGATGAATAAAAACACTGACATCCTACATGATCTGAACATGGAGGAGAATAGGCTCATAAACAGCATCCTGTCCCGAAAACTGAAGAATTTTTTCCTGAAGAAAAACAGTGAAACAGAGTGTACTTTCTGGAAAATGAGGTAAAAATGAGGCAGAAATCTGGATTCCAGACACCAAAGATGCATTCGCTACAAAAGCACACAGGGTTGGAGAAATGGCCAGAGAAAGAGAGACTCTTAGGTGTGCCATGATGAGAGTGACGATCTGTAAGTCTTCTGACTGATGATGATTCAGAAATATAGTGGAACACATGCAAGTCCCAAACTAAAACTAAAATATATTAGTCAGTCAGAAAATTGTAAATACCATGTCCGCATTTTTACTTTCTTTCCGTTCTGAACTGTGTGCTATCATTTCTGATCCACTGGTATTGTTACTGGTATTTGTAATTATCTTTCTTCAGTTAATTACCAACTGCTGGTTTATATTATTTTATTAAATTAAATTTTGACAGGTGAAACTGGCTAACCTGTTAAGATTATTTCATTAGGGTCTGTACTTACAACAGATGGCCAGTCACTTTCACTGTAGTGGTTAATGATAGCTAGAAAACAGTGACGGAAATTTGCACTGAGTGTCCTGCATGGAGAGACAAATGTTATAATCAAAAACGTATAGATGATAATAAATTAACTGAAACAACCTCAACAACATAGATAACTTTTAAAAATGTAATAAGTGTGATAAGCCGAAACAAACTACTAATTTTTAACAAATCTAATACCAAATGATTAGGGAGCATCAAAAGTCTACAACCATCAGGGAAATCACAGTCATTAAGGAAGAAAATAGGGGTTTCCGAGCTGAAATACTACAGAAAGATTTTTAGAATACCACGGAGCAAGAAGAAAAGAAATACTGACACACTGAAAAATCTGAACATCAAGGAAGACTGGCTAGTAAAAGGCATCATGCCTTGGAAACTAAAACAGTCTGGCCACTGCAGATTTTTAAGTAAAATAGAAGACATGGTACCAGGAAAGAGGGGTACAGGCCGACCATCACAAAGATGGGCTCAGGATATAAATGACTCATGGGTGGGAAAGTTCACGAAGTGGGAGGGCTGGTGAGAGACTGAGCTACACTCAGACAGACGGTGCTGAAAGCAAAAAATGCACACAATACTCAGATTCTGGGAAAAGACTAATTCTGGAGGTGGACGAACACCTAGAACTTTCCGCTGAAGTTTACAACTGGTAAACAGGAAAAAGAAGAAAAACAAATTAAATATAGGGATACAAAAATAAATATTCTATGCCGATTACAATTATAATAATAGAGCTTAAAATTACATGATCCATGCCAGTGACACATCAGGCACACGGTGTTAGAAATTTGTATAGACCTTTTGAAAAGATGGCTGCTTTATATCTCATGTCAAAACTTCAAAATTATGAAAAAGCCACTCCAAAAAATTGATTAGTTTAACAAATAAATGGGCTTGCTATATCGCTGGCACTTTCTGACTTCTCAGATGTTAGTGGCATACTGTGCTATGAGGAGGCATGGGACTCACAGTCCATGGCGATCAAGCAATGTCTATGTCAAGTCTAATGAGATCAGCAACGATGATAGTCACTTTTGTTGCATCAATAATGTTTTCCGGGTCAGTGGAAAACCCAGGACACATAGTCCTGACGTTTCATGTGGCAAGCCTAAGCTTGAAGTTTTGTTTCCTTTTATTGCCTGGTGCACTGTGATTTGAAATTTTGTCTTAGCTCCAAGCACCCACTGAAGCACAAAGGTTGTGACGGATCAACACACTAGCATATCATAACATCTAGTATTGTATACACAAGCTCTTAAACACAGCTGTATCATTTAGCACTCAGTTATGGTCAATTCTGTTTTCTGTTCCCATCCTATTTTCATAATTCTGATCTAAATTTGTATCAAAGGTGAAGGTAAAGCATTTTATGATATGATCTGCTAAAAGGTAGAAGAAATGTAAAAAAAACACAGACATCCTGACATCTACCAACCTGTCTAGTGAATGATCTAGAGCAGCCTTAGCCAGCATGTAGAGCATGAGGTTCAAATCTTCTTTAGCAATCAGCGATCTGTGAAAAGAAAAAAAGCTACAACAGAGAACATGGTCATCAACAATATCATAATTAGAAATATAAAGATCTTAAACAGTGCTCAGTGTTGATATTCTTTGGGCGGATCATAAAGCACACAACTGTCAGAAAAGAGGGTTGTGTCTCAACAATTTTGTTCTGAAATCTTTTGCAGAGAAAATGCTCGGAACCTAGCAGTTACATTCCTTATAACTGCTTTCTTTCACCATAGAAATACAAAAACGTCCCAGTTTCAATAGACAAGAATTGTAGCGCCTGCGGCACTTCCCTGCTGCAGTAGTTCTTATCTGTACACAAGCGTCTGCGGCGCCTGATATAGATTCACAACACTGTAATGAAATATAGGCAGAAAGGGGTTAAATGAACAAAGCATACATTTCAGACCACCACACGGCATACTAATTCATCACTGTGTGAAATGACAGAAATGGGTGATTAGAAAGCCATGGCCTAGCCAGCTATACAGAACATCTGCACGATAACCGCCATGACATCTGACAGTGAGGGATGAAACATTCGACGAGTGCCCGTGAGCAAGCACATGCACTGTGACCAGCTGAAGAGATACATTCATCCAAACGTGACCACCAAAGACAGGTGATAGGGGAGTGATTGAGAAGGCACGCCAGAAAGAGCGGGAAAGCGGGGGAATAAAGTCAGAGCCAGGGGCTTGAGAAGATAGTTAGGACAGAACCGCTTGAGAAGACAGTTAGGACAGAACCGCTTGAGTGGACAGTTAGGGCTGGACCGCTGGAGAGACCGGTTAGGAGAAAACTAGTGCTGTACTTCGTTTAGAAGGTATATGTTAAACTTGGAGTTTAGCTAGAACAGTGGTTAAGGAACTCGTAGAGAGTCATACGAATAGCCAGTAACAAGATAATGAAGTGTTCATATACTATTGCTTATTGAATTTATGAAGTCTGTGTGACGAGAATATTGTGAATAAACCAGCTCTTGTGTAATTGTTACATCACTGGCCTTGTTCTTAAATACGATTGAAGAGAGCTACAAACTGTATTCATTCAACTTGGCCGAACTAGGCACATCTATTTCTTGGGGGATGTATAGGCACGACTGTGCCACAACACAACCTCTAACGAGCATTACATATGTAGAGCGAGCGAATGCCAAACCAGGCCATATCATAACATCCTGCAACATAGAAGAGGTCCAGCAAACTAATAAGGGATGAATGGCAAGGGAAGTTACTCTATTCATGGGCCTGGAAACACGACCAGGTCCTTTTATTTTTTCATTTTATATATTTATATATACTGTAAAAAAAAATATGCAGGGGCACAACCAATAAACGCAAATGGAAAAGAGAAATAAATGATTACATTCCCTAGGTCCTAAAAACTGTACCCAGTGACTCAGATCACAACCCGGCATATTCCACAGCTGAAGTCAAATTATGGCATCATGATGACTAAAAAAGGAGCCGCAGTGGTACCGCAGCTTGACAATCACCTGCAGATGGGAAGGTTGTGGATTCGGGTCTTGACGAAGCCAGACTTTTTTTTTAGATGACCTTGGCCCCCAGGTCGACTCAGCCTTGAGTGGGTATAGGTATAGTCTTGGAAAGTAAAGGCAGCGGGGGTGATGCTGACCACATCATCCGCCGAGTGCTGATTAGTCTATAAAATATAGGTCTAGCCCTATATGCCTAAAGGTGTGGAAAAGAGTCCTTTACTTTACTTTTACTAAACTGTCATCACTGTCTGTATGTACGAATGAACGAACGAACGAACTTTATTTTCAAAGGGTCACAAATTGGGCATACAGGCCCGTCTTACATTCGGCCCTTCCAGTCAACTATCTTTCGCACAGCAGTTGTATTTTACTAATAAAGCATGTTATGATCATATGATGATATGCATACTATGAATATTATAAAAGAACACAGAAGCATGTACCAATTTTTAGGGCGGTGTAGACAGGGGACTGTGAGCCTGAGGATTTAGGACAGCACGGCTAGTGCTGTTGCCCATAGACTGTACAGGTTAGGAGGCTTATTCTGCCCCCAACAAAAAAACTTTATCACCTTAGAACAGGGTCTCCCACCTGAAAGCCAGACGCTGTAACTGCAAGGCCAGCAGTATTTTTACTAATGACTAAAAAAAACTTTAAACAAAAGCAAATGAAGCTTGGCTAGCGTATCCACCAATGTGGTTATGTCCTTTACCACACAGGTGTTTTCAGGAGGTAAAGAACATGTTTGAGACAAGGCATGAAAGAACTGATTTAAAAAAAAAAAAAATAAAAACAAGCCAATTGTAGGTATCCCCAAAAAACTTAGCAGTTGCACCCATGGGACATTTAAGGGTTAAATAAACTAAATACATACACAAGGAAGATGGAAGCACTTAAAAGTTGGAAAATGATTGATATAAAGACTGTAGTGTTTGTGTATTCTAGACAAAACATCCAGGTCTACTGTGTTCATAAATTGTTGCTGTGCTTGTTATTCAACATATGCTTCGTTTATATAAATTTCTGTAACCTATGGTGCCATTTCAATGGTTTGAAAGGAATTCTGTCCATATTCAAAAGTTGTAGATTTCAAGCTGTACGTACGATAGACATGGCCAATAAGACAACTTTTTTGGGGTGCCTAGCTGACGATGTTCTTAGTGCACTTGTTTCCATAGTGAGGCACACACACCATCTGGAGGTGACAGGTTCAATTCCTGCCACAGTATCTACAGCTTTCGATTTTTATGTTGTCTAGTGTGTTCTTCTATATCTTTCTACTTCTTTCTATAAGTGCAGATCAATACATTTTGTGTTACTTAATTAAAATGTGAGTTAAAAAGAAATACCTAGAGGTATTTACAAATAAATGATCGCAAACATGAATTTACTTGGGAAAGATATTCTGTAAGCAATACAGAAAAAGAACCAGAAAACAAAAATTTATCACACTGAAAAAACAAAAATATATTATACTGAGAAAACAAATATATATCATACTGAGAAAACAAACATTTATCATACTGAAAAAAAAAAAACATATATTGAGAAAACAAATATATATCATACTGGAAAAACAAAAATATATCATACTGAGAAAACAAACATTTATCATACTGAAAAAACAAATATATATCATACTGAAAAACAAATATATATTATATTGAGAAAACAAATATATATCATACTGAGAAAACAAACATTTATCATACTGAAAAAACAAATATAGTTAAAGAACTGCAAAGAGAAATTGTAAAGAGAGATCTTGGTATGGCATGGTTCAGTATATTTTATCACATATTAACTGCAGAGGAAGATCACATTACCTGCCCTGCAAGGCAACACTAAGAACACACAGAACAGCCCGGAACCTCTCACTGCTCACTCCCCTTTCTTGTGGGCGATGCAGAGTCGAATCCTCGACTCTTATGAGATGTCGACTATATAAACAGAAATTATAAAACAAGGATCTTTACACAGAAAAATAAAACAATAGACTGCCCAATTTATCGCCTGACGTATTGCGCTGATCTCACCAGTTGCTTAATACAGTAAAAGTAAAGGACCCTTGTCCATGTCTTCAGGTGTATTGGGCATATAGGGCTAGACCTATATTTTACAGACCAATAGGTACTTGGTGGATGATGTGGTCAACATTACGTCGGCCACCTTTACTTCCCAGAGTATTCACCTGGTACCTATTTAGGGCCTGGTCAACCTCGAAACCAAGGTCATTTTTGAAAAAAAAAGTCTCCATCCGAATGGACCTGAACTCCCAACATTCTGCTTGCAGGCGAGCATTTAGCTGCTAAACCATGGTGCCCCCCCACTCCACATAATACAGTAGCAGTTGGATATAATGAAGCAAACATTATATTACCATCATATAACAGGTCCTTTACAGAATAATGCTCCCATCCTTGCATGCACAAAAGAAACACAGCCCTTTGCCAGCTCTCGCACCTCATACCTTTTCCTACCCAATGTCTTATGCCCATCTTCATGAAGTCCAGCATGGCTCTTGATATGAGTAACTATTTCAGTTTCTGAGATGCTGTTTACAAGTAGAACTGTCCTTGATATTCAAACCTTTAGGAATGTCATTTCTTTTCTTCTTGGCCCATGAAATTCAAAGAATCCTTTTAGAGCATTTCCGCTCAAAAGCCCCTGTTTTCTTCCTTAATGACTGTGAGATAGTCACATATTTTTTTAGCGTATTATTATGGCAGTTTGCTTGCAGGTTTTCTTATCTAGTGGTCCCTGCAAAACTGCAATGAGCTAGGCAGCTGTCATTTCAAACAGCAACAACAAAATTAAACACTTTTGCTGTAATGATAAATACAAATGTAACAGCAAACACTTCTCTCAGCCACAGACACTCCAGGATATTACTACTCAACAGTCTCACTTGTGCATCAAAATCAAATGTAAAGTTCTTAGGCAGTAAACATGAAAACAAAAAGGCAAGGAGCTTCTAACCTTATCTCTTCTTGTGTGAAGTGTGTCTGTGATTCTGTTAATTCTTGTGGATCAGCTCCTGTGCACATAAAAATAAAAATGCCTTTTTCCATACCTTGTGGTTTTTGAATATATAGTAAAGAAAAGGACCCTTTTAACACCAATGGTGCAGCATGCACTAAACTCTTGACTCATATGGGTCTATTCCACCCCTCTGAAGGGCCCAGTAACCCACACCTGAAAGGATGGGGGAGGGGGGCGGAGGGATGGAAGGGGGATTCTTTAATTTCTTACATCAGCTCTTCATTCAAATATTCTCTATAATTTCTAAACTTGTTTTTATTTTGGCTGTTTGTATCTACAGTTGCAAGCATGAGGATGAAGGTGGAGGTAATCACTGCAGCTCTGAAGTGGATAGCTGAAAATAGAGGTCACAGCGGAATCATAGCGGCTGATTCTCAGTCTTTGTCTTCTTCACTTACACTTACTCTCTGCCCACCTTAGGTGTCAAAGGAAATCTAACATTCTGTTTCTTGCTCTTCTGGATGCATCAACCAAATACACATCATGCTTGAATCATTACAGAATTCCACTGTGCATGGAGTCACCTATATTTTTGTTCCGGGAAAAGCAGGCGTCGATGGAAATGAAAGAGCTGACAGGTTGGTTGGATCTGCTATCACTACCGACGGTCAGCCTATGGATCATGCTGATATTATTAATGCCCTCAGTGAAATGGGAAGGATAGAGGACTTTGGTGTCAGTGAATCCACATCACTCGCCAGAATGGCAGACTTGGGAATTAAGATCAGCATAGCAAAAAACGAGACGCACACCAGACACGCCAGAAGACTTGTTAATCAACAAAGAACTGGTACTATTAGCCATCGGACGTTGGGGTTCATACTGAGGGGAGGATCTGAGCACCTATGGACATGTCCGGAGTCCAATGATGATAACCCAACTAACTAACATCATGCTTTGTACAGTGTGTTATGTTATGTTATGTTATCTGTCCATCTTGTTCTTGGTCTACCTTTTGCTCTACATCCTTCATTCTCTTGGTATATGCCTGTATGGTATGGTGTATCAAGGTATTCTCTCTAACTGTGCAAACTATTTTATATGTTGTCTTTGTATGTAGTTCAGTCCTGGTTCTGTGTCGACTTTATCTCATATTCATCTTCTTCTTTCATTCGCTTGAAATAGATTATCTATATCTGCAATGATTTCTCTAGTATAAACTTCCCTGTCTTTTGTAATTCACTCAGTGACCCGTAAAGTTTGGCTTGCACCAATGTTTCTCTTGGCTAAAAGTTTTACCTTGATAGGTTGTATTTGAAAGAAATACTGGATAAGGAAGACATTTTGAAGACTAATTATGAATAAACCCTGGTGGAAGATATGATGTTAGATGAAATAACATGTGTAAGGTTGTGAATTTGAAACTAAGTGTAGATCCTGCAAGAAAGGACCTATGAAAGGAACAGAATGATGTATTGACAATCAGTTTGCTGCTGGAACAGTTAGCATCTCAATCTCAAAACATTTGCTGCAGGAGACCGAGTATCTAACTGTATGCCTGCTTTGCTATGATGCTGATTCTTAAATCAGCAAATGAGTCAAAACACAAACTAGTTTTAGCACACTGCATATTTCTGAATGCAATATCCTTACTGCTTGTACATTGCAAAGTTTCAGCACCATACCAGTAATGAATATGAAAGGTAGGAAAAGAAAGTTGGGAGAATGTTCTTTAGAAATATCATCAGACAGCAATTCCTCTTTAAAACCTCATCCCTCACTGCTGGAAAGTCTTTCAGTCTCATCAATCCAGCTGGCCTTGTCCATTATTATGCCCAGCGTGATTCTAGTATTCTATGGCCATATTGTCTCAGTGAAGTCTTGACTTCTCTTTCAGTCCATTGGTGTTAATTCAAAATCACTGCAGCCTTTGATATAACCAAGATATTTTAGTTTCTGAGACATGATGCGGTTTACAACACAGTATTCTTTGATGTTCAGAAATGGTAGAAATTATTTGTGTTGATTAATGCTATCCATATAATATTTGTGTGTGTATCTAATATATAGTTGCCATGCTCCTCCTTTCATCCAGAAGCATTGTAATGGCCTGGGACTTCAACTGTCACATGGAGTGTTCACAAGAGACAAGCAAAACATACTTTCTTCAACAGAATGTTTACTGGCTGTATCAGATGGTGCTGTTTCTGTCAAAGGTCATCAATCTGTCTAGGGATTAATCTTGAGTTTGTAGACTTCTCATATCGCTCACTGTCAGCTGAAAACTTACAAGCTACTTTCTTTCAACATGTAGACTAAATTTGCTCATACCAGCTGTCAGCTTCTCACAATCTGTGTTTTCATTCACTCAACAAGTGTATGGCTTCCTTGCATCCTCCTGTCACCCATATGTGGACAGACCTTCTCTAAACATTTATGCCGCTGATATTCACACAATTGTTCTAACATCTGCTTGCACATAAGAACACACCTTGTTTGTTCAGCCATCTCATACAGAACAATATCACTTTCTCTATGGCTGTGTACCTCCGCTTTCCACTGTTCACTCTTTCACACATGAACTTCCACTTCTTTACATCTCAGGATTTCTCATGTGTGGACATCCTCATTTATTCAATCCAAATTTGGCTAAGTTTTTATGTCTGGCCTTTCACCTATAACTTATGTTAATCAGATATTCCCTCTGAAGTATGCTATTCTCCATGGCCAGGTATACTACTTATGCTATACTCTCTAACCAGCCAGATTATACCATCTAGGGAACTATACTAGAGAGAGAGAAAGAGAAAAATATATATAAATACACAAACACATACATAAACACACACACGCTCTCACTCACTCTTACATACATCAACCCACCAACACACACACACACAAAGATATATATATATATTTATTTATTTATTGCACATGCAATACAATTATATACTTATTCAAAGGTGAAGTTTACCCAAGTTGACAAGCAGGCGGAGCAAATCAAGAGCAGATAACTTCCAACAGTACTCTACATTTCTTGATAGATAATGACGACTCAGAGCTGCATTTAATGTGGTCTCTATAGTAACTGCTGTCCGAGAACACTGGTGAATGGACACTGTTGGAAATGAGAACACAAAATTTCAAAGGGTTAATAATTACATACTGAATCTAACTCACTTACAAGGTGTGCTGGGATATTAAAATGATAGGGAAAAAAAAAATTGTATTACAAGTAACGAAGTCAGGCCCACAAATAGAGTGTCACAAAGAGGCGTCAATGAAAAGGGAAGTCACTCTAATTGTGTGCCTGCCTGCTATTTGTTACAAAATTGTAAACAGTTTTACATCAGTAAAGTACTTAAAAAAAACCACAATAGCCAAAAAATGCTGGGGTTGGTTCTGCAACCTCCTGTAAAGGATACACAACTATTTTGTTAATAACCCTTTTCATTAACTTGGTACATCTGCATCTAGTAAAGAACCAAAATCACGCCAACCACCTTTACTTCCCATGACTTTGGCTTGTACCCATCAAAGGTTGGGTTGACCTGGCAGCCAAGGCCATTTTTTTTTGTCCGGCTCCATTTAGATTTGAACTCGGGACCATCAGATCCACAGGCGAGTATCATGGCAGCTCTGCATCTAGCGCTAGACCAATATTTGTACAGACCAATCAGCCTTGGATGGGTAATGGACTCAACATCATGCTGGTGGCCCTTGCTACTCAGGACATACCTCATCATCATGTAGCAGGTCCTTTGCAGAACGTCGCTATCATCACAGTCTGCCTGTAAGAAACTCGGTCTCTTGCCAGTTCTCCCGACTCATGAACTTTCACACTCAAGGAGTCACTTATATCCTGTGCCCATCTTCGTGTGGGTTGGCCTCTGCCCCTCCTTCCTGGTACCATGCCTTCTGCTATAATTTTTTCCAATCCGTCGTGGCGCTTGATATGACCAAAATATTTCAGCTTTTGAGAAAGGATGCTGTTTATAATCCAATCTTCTTTGATGTTCAGATCTTTTAAGATGTCATTATTTCTCATCTTCTTTGTCCAAGATATTCTGAGAATCTTTCTATAGCATTTCAGCTCAAAAGCCCCTATTCTCTTTGACTCAGATATAGTCCATTACTCACATCCGTATGTAGCCACAGGGAAGATGCAAGCTCTCAAAATTCTAATTTTTATCTCCTTACTGGTGCTTAACCATAGACTTTTAAGGCTGTTCAATCTTTGCATTGCTATGGCCATCCTCCTTTTAATTTCTGTCGAACAGTCTCCATTGTTGTTTATTATAGAGCCTAGATATTCAAAGTTTGTGACATTTTCAATTTCCTCATCATTTATTGTTATTTTTGGGTGACAGCCAGTTTTACCTGTGGACATTATTTTCGTTTTCTTTAAATTCAAGAACAGATTTTGATCTTCACTGTGCTTTTGGACGGACAATATTAAATTTTCTATTCCCTTTACACTGTTCGAAAGGCGGACTGTGTCATCTGCGTAGCGGAGTTCCGGAATAGGGTTGCCACCAATTTTGAGCGGATCATAACTGTCACAAGTCTGGTCATTTTTGACATTTCTCATTATATTTTCTGCGTATATTTTGAATAGGTATGGTGAGAGAATGCACCCCTTTTGCACCTCGAACCAATCAGATGTTTCACCAGCTGCTCTGATGGCTGCTTGTTGTTCATGATAGAGATTTTCAATTAAGTGCACTAAATGCGCTAGAAACCCCATACTTTTCAAATTAGTCCACAAAGGGTCAGGACATACCTGCTACCCATTTTAAGCTGGACTGACCTGGCAGTCAAGGTCTATGTTGTTTTAAAAGAGGGGGTGGGAAATTGCCTGGATGCGTTCACATTACCAGTAAATCTAGAAATGCATTCAAACATAAGCTTACATAAATCAAATAGCCACTGAACGACTGCACTAAAACTGGAAGAAGTCATAATGCTAGGCAAATTTTGGGCTGTTAGCACATCCAGATCATCTGAAAAAGAAAACTTAATTGATTAGTCCCATCTCCTATATTAAAGTAAAAATAAGAAAACTAAATTAGCTAGTCCTTTCTCTGAGTGTTGGATGTAAAAGATAAAAATAGGAGAACTGAATTAACTAGTCCTTTCTTGTTTAAAGATAAAAGATTTAAAAGATAAAAGTGATTTACCAGTCCTTCCTTTCGTAGTGTCGGATGCAAAAGATAAAAATGAGGAAACGGAATTAACTAGTCCTTTCTTGTGTGGTGTGGAATTTAAGGGTGAAATAAGAAACTCTATAAACTAGTCATTTCTCTAGTGTGTTGAATGTGAAGGTCATCTATCAAGTGCTTTGACAGTCACATACTCATAAAAGTAACTTAAATGGTGGCTGAGTGAAAATGAATACTCCTAAAAAAGAAACAACTGTGTAGTTTGTAATAACTATAAGGTTGAAAAATATCTGCTCTGCAACAAAATATAGCTAAAATTACAAGGGAAAATTATGATGAAAAGGACGGCAGAAATAGGAAGAACAGATATTTCTTTTAAACATATACTTCTTCTGCGTTCATCCGAAGATGTCAAGGCGTTTAGACATTTACAGCGTGGCTGCAATAGTTGCGCATTTTGGCCAACACATCAAACTTTTGAAGGCATTTGTCGACTGGATTAACCTTCCTGGTTAAAAATATACAACTAGAAACATCATGTTGAGTACCAGAAAGCAAACCACATGACAAAATATGTTGTGGGAATCACCTAGTGCAGTTGATAGATAGATATATAAACAAGAAAGTTAACTAATCACAAATTATTACTACTTGAATTTTTTGCCTTCAAATAAAACAACTCACATGCTATGTATCTATGGTACAAACCTAAGGAAAACTTGGACCATCTGTTGTTAGAGACTGAGTCTGCATTTTTCAAATAGTTAAGAGGTGTGATGTTATCAGAAAACAGACAGCAAAAGTTGTCTATGTTGAAAATCGGAAGTCCTGGCTGAACCGTTTTCACTTTGATTGACTTCACCTTCATCTGAAGTTCAAATAGTTAACGTTAACTCACAGCTTAAGAAAGAGTGACTTTTAAACAAACAAGCAAACACAAACTTTCTTACCCTTTTGCCCCAATGACCTAGAATAAACAAAGCCGACCACCCCTATTTTGGGAATTTCCAGGGAAAAAGGTTTTAAAAAAAACATTTTAGACAGGTCACACAACAAATTTACCATTTACGCTTGTTATCTAATACTTATAATATGTACATTATTATACGAACATAACAAGATGAACAGATAAAATATAACCGCATCATGAAAGATGAGTGCTTGGAAAGGATGAATGTAAGATGGGTATGTGTGCCCAATATGTGACCCTTTAACAAAAAAATGTGTTCGTTTTTTAGGCTGGTATTTATTTATGGTAGTCACACATGTGTCAGACATTTAATTGAGCAGACAAATATGTGATTCCTCCTGGAGACACTTCAGTTAAGTAATCCGATCTTACTACCCAGAGATCAGGGGAAATTACCAGAAGTCCACGTTAAAAAATCCCAGCCTTTACCGGGGTCTGAACCCCGGGACCTCCAGCACTTCAGGCAGACACCATGCCCTAAGACCACACAGACCCCCTATTCATGTTTGTGGTATTGTGTATTCATGTAACCTACTTCACAAGTACGGCAAGAGCCAGGGTGGGGCTTCAAAATAACGAAAAATTGCATCCCACAAAGAGATGACAAGTTACATAATGAAAAGTAAAAACATTATAATTGGGATATAACTTACTTTTTCTATAACATCTGTGTGTTCTGGCATGATATCTTTGTCTGCTAGTACTAGAAGAAAAATGCCAAGCATGAGTTAAAAAAAAACAACAACAACAATGGCAGACAACTATTTAAAAAAGAATGAAAACAACAGACATAATTTCTTACAAATCAGGCTTAAGAGATAAGTGGAGGAGGATGTATTAAACCACAACCTTCATGAAGGACTGCATCTGGACACTGCTAGCAGGGAGAACAAAAATGAGAAGAAGATGATGAAAAATGGTTGTTCACATACCACAGTATACAGGCATTTACTGAGTGCTCTGCAGGCAGAACAACCCAGGAGGCCAGTGGTGCCTTCCATACGACTACTAGCAGCATGACAATGGAGGTGATGGTGATGACACAAGCTTTCATGTGGCTAGCTTTGCAGGGCTATTCTCATGTGTGTGTTCTAAGTGATTCCAAGAGCATGATCCAGCAGGTCGAAGCAGGCTCAGTACGCAGACAGTGGATCGAGTCATTGCAAAAGTCCACTGTGTGTGGAGTTACCTTCTTCTTTGTCCCAGGTCATGTGGGTGTTGTTGGCAATGAAAGAGCCGACAGATTAGCCGGCTCTGCCTTAGTTACAAAGGGCCGGCCCATGGATCATGCCGACATTGGTAATGCCATTAGAGAGATGGGATGTTCGGAGGATTTAGGAGCAGCACATCCACATCTTTCCTAAGAGTGCAAGAATTGGGAGTAAAGATCGCCACAGCCAGGCACGAGTAGCACATCAGACACAGGAGATGTCTTGTCAACCAGCATAAGACTGGGACTATCAACCGCACAACACTAATGCTGAAGGGGGAATCTGAGCAGCTGTGGATATGTCCGGAGTGCTGTGAAGATAACGCAAATCATAACTCATAACAGGAATATTGCAATGAAAGAGCAGACAGATAGGCTGGCTCTACACATGGTCAGCCTCAGAATCACACCAATATTAGTAATAACCCTGCACAGACAGGATGATCAGAGGATCCCGGGGACAGTGTGTCTATACTACTGCTATGAATGCATTAACAGGGGTAAAGATTCACATTGCCAGGCATGAGGCACACCAGATTACAAGAAGTCCTGTCAGCCTAGAACCAATTTACACTGGTACATCACTGACTGGACGCTGATGTATCTGTTGAGGAGGTGAATCTGAGCATTTGTGGACATTTCCATGTGACACCAAAATAAATAACCAAATTCATAACTCATACATAAATACTGCAGGTTGTTTAAGAATATATTCAGAGGTAAAACAAATGAGGTTTTAATCTCCAGAAAAGACAGTATTTTGCTGTCGAAACTACTTTATAAAAATAGTATTGCAGATAGTATTTGCCAAACAATCCAAGAAAATAAAAGCCTAACACACAAAATACCAAATAAAGTTTGTCTAACACAGCATACTAAAAACAAAATAGTGGCATGTAAAGAAAAATCTTTACATACTAAGCCAATGGTGAGAATTTTGATAGAAACGATGCCACAATGTATATTATAAATACCAAATACTGATTCAAGTACTAAGTACTACAAATTTAATTTTGCTATTCAATCATTGCAAAGAAAAAGGAATAAAAAAAAAAAAAAAGGAAGACATAGTTCGTCGAAGAAAAGCCAGGAGACAACCAATGTGCAGAGGGTAGGTGACATTTAAAGACACCCTGAACAGAAGAACTGGCAAAAGAATCTGTCCAGCAAGTTGTGATGACACTGGCTCCAATTACTGTTACATCACAATGTTGGAAAATATATTTGTGCAATACCTACGTGACATTCCTCAATATTTAGTGAGGAGCAGATCTCTAAAGCTTAGTTTTTTTTTTTTTTACTTTTAGAAATACCAAATAAAATATTACACAAGAGATAAAAATGAAAACAAACTATTCTTGCAAAATGACTTTTAATAATTTTTATTTCCCTAACTCAGAACAATTTTATATCTGTTTCATAACTTGGTTTATTGCCTTAGTTTCTTCTTATGACATGCAAGGTAGATTATAGAGTAACTATTATTGGGGTCCAGGGAAGTAAAGACGGCCGGCATGATGCTGACCACATCACCCATCTTGTGCCGACTGGTCTATAAGAATATAGGTCTAGCCCTATATGCCCTTTATGCCTAAAGGCATGGAAACAGGACCTTTACTTTTTATATTATTATTCGGGGAGGGTGGAGGAAGGGAGGGGGGGGGGGGGGAGGGAGGTTTTTTTTCCATGGCAAAGTGTTTAATAAGGCATTTGAGTCATTGCTCTGAATGTTGTGAGGTCTTTTCCTGGATGTGCCATTCAGTTCATAAGTGCAGCTTTTTACAGCAATCCCTGGGGACTGCTTGAGCTGCACAGTTTGTGCCTTATGCCACACTCTTGGCTGCTCCACTCAGCTTCCCCTGTGTGTGTTTCGAGGCCCCATGGTGGTGGGGGGTTAGTCGGGGAGGGGGAGAACAGACTCACTGCCCTAAAACAAGAATCTCATAATTAGGGGATTTTCCCCTTTGAGGTTGCAGTGCATCCTCATGAGAGGCAAGCAACCAGCAGTCTGCACACAAATAAGCCAGACTGTAAAATTGACATGCACACAAAAACTCAGTCCCTGGACACAACGAAAGTTCAGAAGTGGGTTTCACAAACCAGAACATTCTGTCAAGAAATAGGGTCCCCTAACCTAAAGACAACAAATTTTATTAAAATGGGCCTAGTGCAGTGGTCTGCAAATTGCGGCTCTTTAGCGACCTGAGTGCGGACTGGCTAGTCGGCCACAAATAAGTTTTTACTCCGAAAAACATGGTTTCTTGATAGGTTCTTGGAAAAAAAATTAGCACTCAAACAATTTTTTATATCATTCTGCTGTTGATTTTTTGGCTCTTTTGACTAATGAGTTTGCCGACCACTGACCTAGTGCACAACAATCACATAGAAATATAATCCCTTATTTTGTACTTTTCTGTACAAAAATGCCTCAAATATGCCTAGAAAAATCACAACAGCAAAAAGAATTCCCGGATGGTTCTACAACATCCTGTAAAGGATACACAACTAACTTGTAACCCAATGCCTAACTGTCAACTTGAAAAATGAGGTGAATAATCGTCATAGTTAAAGTCTCCTCGTTTTGCTGCTAATCAAATGCAACATTTGTACACATAATACTTGCCTTTGGATATTTCTTCACAACCACTTTCTCTTTCAGCCTGTGATAATCAAATAACAAGAAATATACAATATCATATATGATCTGGAAAAGATTATCATCATCATTAAAAACCTACTGAATCTGCATACAAATTCATGTTCTGCACTTTAGATTCAAATTATCCTGGTAGATACTCAAATCCCAAAAAGCTGCATTTGCCAGACTGTCGTGAGTTTTCTATCCACTATGATGCAAAGCTGCAGCTGGAATGTTCCCTTCAAAGAATTGTTAAATTACTGACAAAATTATTCTTTGTAACTGCTACTGACCGACAGTGAGTTCCAAGGAATTCTGTTCTCATTAAATCTGGTGCACTGGTTCTGATTAATCAAGTCCTGAAATGGACTTGCATGACAGGTATAGACTTTCCCCCTAATGCAATACCATTTTCATGGTAGCTATGATGCAAAGCTCTTCTTCCTCTCTCCAAGCTCAAAAACCAGCATGGTGTGCAAGACCAGTAATGGAGCTACCATCCATTTAGAGATGTATTGCAATGTAATCAAGACATTTTACTGAATCTACTACAAAGACCAGACTGCAAGAACATCAAGTTAAAAGGAGTGTGGTCAGACAACAGCACTAGGCAAGGAAGCCAAAGAAGAATAAGAAACCAACAAAGAACTGGTGTCGTCAGCTGCTACAGCTACAGGATTTACTGAGAAAAGGAGCCATGCACTTAAAGACTGAAATGTTTGATGTGCGATGAGGATAATTTGCCAACTAACTAATTAACATACGGACTAGCTTGGATTAAACATGCACTGGTAGTGTTTCATCCACAGGTATTATCACAACGACACCAACCTAATGCCGAGAGCAGGGCTTTTCAACTAAATTTACTCAAGGGCCAACATTTTTTTTAAAGGGGATTGTCACCGGCCAGAAGCCCAAGCCCCAGCTTAAAAATTTTATTAATACAACTGCCAAAGTTCCACGGGCCACTTGCCAGGCCTCCGCACATCAATCACTTGACAGTACTATAGCTACAGAAATGAGATGACTGGAAAGGAAATTCTTCAAAATAGCAATATGGGACAATACTAAAATACATAACTGCCTCAGATTGGTCACTGCTATATAGCATAACCAGCAACACTTTGGAAAGTCACTGACTGCCTTCTGATATATGAACACAGGAAATAGATAGAAATTCTTTCTCAACTATAGTTTTCAGTAAATCAGATGTTTCCCAGTAAACATCTTCTTTCAATAACCCCACAACCAAAAGTCAAAATCTGTGAGATCCATCATTTTCCTCTTTAATGTAGAAGTAAATAAGTAAAGTACCCTTTACCACGCCTTCAGGCATACAGACCCGTGTTTTATAGACCAATCAGCACTTGGTGGGTGTTATGGTCAGCACCATGCAGTCACCTTTACTTCCCAGAACTGTTCCTTGTACCCACTCAAGGCTGGTTCGACCTGGTACCCACTCAAGGCTGGTTCGACCTGGTACCCACTCAAGGCTGGTTCGACCTGGTACCCACTCAAGGCTGGTTCGACCTGGTACCCACTCAAGGCTGGTTCGACCTGGTACCCACTCAAGGCTGGTTCGACCTGGTAGCCACTCAAGGCTGGTTCGACCTGGTACCCACTCAAGGCTGGTTCGACCTAGGAGCCACTCAAGGCTGGTTCGACCTGGGAGCCAATGTCATTTTTGAAAAAAAGTCTAGCTCTGTCAGGACCTGAACTCACGACCTCCGATCCGCAGGCGAGTGTTTAGCTACACCACGGCGACTTCCCCTCTATAATGTGGAGTAACTTATTGCTGATTATAATCATGTAGCTGTATTTCTGATCACCCTGTAGTAACTCCCCTTTGCCTTCAATATCCACATAACAAATGTACAAGTCACAACAATTCTAATGTGACTTGCATTTCTAATTTTGGCTTTTGCCAGCACAACACCTAATTAGCCTCCTATACAATCTTGGTTACATTCTTAGATGTCACGTGTTTTTTACAATCAAGATAAAGTGGTTGACCTGTATATTCTTCTCACTCTCCAAGATTCCAAGAAACCGCACATGGTCTATGACTAATACTAAAACTAGGAGAAAAGAAAGACTTACCAACAGCTGATCTCTCAAAATCTGCTGCTTTTCGGCCTGAAAATAAGTAAGAGTGTATGTCATGAAACAAAAAATAAATTAGTTGACAAAATAAATCAGAGAAACATAAATATACCAACTGGATGAACATATATAATTGTTACATGCTTTGCTAAAAGGAACAGATTTCAGTGTTGATCTGGTTTTTTTTTTTTTTTTCTGGAGTGATTCTATTCTTATTTCCCCATGCATCTATCTCTGACCATTCGTCTCTGATAGTGTACCACTGCTTCTTGTGCTGCTGATATTTCCAGTTACTATGATCTTTTCCAATGACTCTTTCTTCATAACACATTTCCCTTCCCCCCCCCCCCCCCCCCTTTTCCTCCCTCTTCCCCCAAAAACACACATTATTTTGCCTCTTAACTGATGCAAAAATGTTTTAATTTTATTATTTCTTTAGAAAATCAGTGTGGTGAATTGGTCAAGCCGTTTGCCTCATGCTGTAAAGGGTGTCAGTTTATTTCACGCCAGCAGTATTTAGTACAGGAGTGCCATTTTTCTGGAGATTCCTGGGGATCAAACAGGAGCTATGGAGTTCATGCTTTGTGTTACACTCTGGCTGTTCTGCGGAGAAAAGTCAATCCTACCCACTTTAACTTAAATAATCATTCTGACTGTTAGTTACTCTGACAGTCTATTTCTCAAGGTTACATACAATGATTAAGAGTAATCTTAGCAGCATGATAATCAGATTATTAATGCCCTTCTGGGTTCGAGTGTTACATTTCTAAGGATACAAGAACAGATTCATTGCCGGCTATGAAACCTGTCATAACTGACAGCCAATTAGAAGTTTGCTTAAATCGGATATGTTGAGTGGAAATATGCAAATACAGCAGCCAAAGTAGCCATAAAATAACATGCCAACTGGCATTTCAAGGGCAAACACAGAAGAACTAAATGAATGACGAACAAACTTTATTTTCAAAGGCTTAAGAATTGGACATGCAGACCCATCTAACATTCTGCCCTTCCAACCTTACCCCTTTCATATATCATTTCATTCATACATCTTTTATTATTATCATCAATAGCACCTAAATATTGGTTACAAGCACTGGCCTCTGCTCGAAATGCATATATTTCTAACACAGTAAAGCATAGAATTTGTAATTAATCTATAAGAAACACCGTTTTTTTTTTTTTTTTACAGTTAGGTCATTTGACTCTGATTTATGAAACTTTTGTTCAAATCTTCAGTATGGGGATGGAAATGTTTTCTATCCTAGGCAAAATTTAAGGCGTTGTTTGCGCTTACTGCACCAGCTTTTAATCCTCAGGTTCAAGACTACCGCTGCCCTACACAGTTGTAATAAATGGTAAATACAAACAGTAAAAACAGTTATGGTTTGGTATTTAAAGGCAGAATAAGTTCATCACAACAGAGGAAATGAAGAAAGATAAACTGTGTTAGTTGAAAATATAAATAAATAGAACAATAGAACAGAAAATAACAACCTGTGAAATACAGTCTCCGTTAAGGTCATTAACAACGCAAAAAGAGACAGGGTTATGAATACCAGCATCAGAGAGAAAACTGAAACAGGACTTTGAATTACAGACAAAGAATAAAATGGTTGACCAAACTGTATAGAGATTTTTTACAGCAGAATATCTGGGAGGAAGGGTAGGGGAAGACCAAGAGAGAGATGGATAAAAGGTGTAGCTGAAACCTGAAAAAAAAATCCATCACAGCCACCCAAGAAAAATACAAAAAACCATGACACTGGGCTACAGCCTGGTATCAGGGAGAGGACAAAAGAAGAAAGAAGAAGAAGCTCAAAATATGTTAGGCTTAAAAGGTTGAAATAAACTCAGATACTGCAAAGATAATAGACAGAAGCACTCACATAAAGCATAGACACATGGTCAATTCTGAGAAGGCAATGTGAGAGGACAAGGAAACGATCACCAGATTTCATTATACAGCAAAGATATACCATAATGCAGCAACCAGAAAAACACAAAGACATGTAAATCACAAACCTCTCTATGCTCAGCCAACAAAGCATCAATTCTGCTACAGTGCTGTTTAGAACTGCTTCTAGTTGATTTCTGAAACAGTAGAAAAAATAGTTCAAATCTAAAAGATGACTGAAGCAGTGCTTTGTGCTACAGGTGTAAACTGGTTAGGGAAATTGGAGGTAAGTAGTTGAGGTCTGTAAATGCTGAAAATGTAACTTGACAGGAAAAGAGCAAAGAGAACATCATCAACATCATGTGCCTTAACACACAGCACAGGCACTCATGTCTCTGATGATATTCCTTCATTTCTAATGCTTCAGGACGTCAAGTTTTATCCCCATGGGTCTGCCTCTTCTCCCGTTGACATTTCAAGTCATCACAATGTTCTCTATTGCCTCTCTTCTCATCACATAAATAGAGAGATAAAAAATTTGATGATTTTATTAACTGGCATAATGAGGACAAGAACACCAACCTGATTGAGGACTCATGATTTTGTGAGATGATACAGCCCATTTTAAGTTATGGCACATGTTGATGATGATTACACATAAAAGTATTGAAAGTATACACACTACCATCAACTGATATGTCCATAGCACCGAAGACCACGTAAACCTCACACTCAGTAAGTTTTTAGTGAACTGCCATATGCAGATTGTAGGTAGGTGTGGAGCACGTTCTTGGCTCTTTCAGCCATGTCTGCAGTTGTTTCTAACCTATCAGTGAATTGGAATGACTGAAGTGATGTGTTATGTATTTACAATAGCCTGAGCATTACTCTACAAAAAGGTACGAGATCACAACCACCTGTTTAATTACAAAAGTAGAAAGCTATCAGAGAAACATATTCGGCCACTGTCTTAATTCTTGTAAAAGCCAAACAGGACATTTTATGTCTTGTGGTATTCTGGTAAAATAAATTATAAACTGTTACCATATACCTAAACTGCTCAATGACCTTATTTGTTTATTCAATGAATCAACATCATGGCACACGGGTGTAACTCATAAGTGCTCTGATCTACTTCTAACTCAAGCCTGAGTCTGAAGAATCTTAGCATAGTGCACGAACTCTGATGCATCCGAGAGGATCCTGAAATACTTTGGGTAGACTTGTAAATCAAAATTGTTGCCCGAGCAGCGCCATTAGGCTACTCTTTTTTATATGTAACTGCCAAGAGATTTCTTACGTGTGCAAGAATACACAAGGGTGTCCAATCTTACTACCCAGAGACCAGGGGAAATTAGTAGAAGTCCACAATCACAACCTTAACCAGGGCTTGAACCCAGGACTTCCAGCACTCAAGGTGGACACCATACCTTAAAACCACTCAGCCCCCATTAATGACAGTCCTCAATGACTTCAGTGACGTGACTGCTTCTGAAGCCTAGAGAGTCAATACCTTATTCTTCCTGAAAACCAAGCAAAGTATCTTGTCAATATGCCAAATCTCTAGGCTTGGTCAGGAAAAGGGCATGGAAGTTTCTTACTGCATACATATGAAGGAAAAATCAAGGGGAAAAAAACAGAGGAAGCCCAGCTAAGAGAGAAAAAAGATGTCAATTAGAAAGAAGATGCCCACAAGAAAAAGATGAGTGACCAAGAGAAAAAGAGGATATCCAAAAGGAAAAAAAGATATTACACATACAATCTATGCTATGTGAAAGTGAATTTAAATCTAAAGACTGATTATTATGACATAAATCTGAGGCTTATGGAGTATTCTGAACATGTAAAATAGGAAAATTTAGGCGGGAAATTATCATACAGGAAGAGACTCCAGAATAGCAGGGGAGAAGAAGATTACAATGCAGAGAGAATATAGATGTGACAGATTATTTGCACACATGACAGTAAAACAGAGGAGACATCAATATCCAGCCTCTGATAGCAAGGAATTTTTACAGCAACATACTTAGGTCTTATAGAAATGGAAAGATATAATTTGGGAACAGAAGGAGGTATAGCATTAACTAAGATATAATAGGATAATATAAAGAAAGGATGGGACAGACAAAGTAAAGTTATGTGTACCATATAAATAAAAGAGTTGTGTGGGTGCTATATCCACAATGAAGATTGGCTGTGGGAGATATAAGGTTTTGCTTCTTGCTCTGTTAAACATTATACGTGTAAAGTTTCCTAGATCTTCTGTGTTCATAAGTTCTATGATAAACTTAAGCTATGGAGTTCAACGTGGCAAGGCCGACTTGGGCAATCTGACACTACGCAAATTTTGCTCAGAACATGATGTTAGATTTATAAATAATACTCCTTTTTTTGCTTCCTCATCTGGTGCGCCTAAGAAAAGCATGTATAGAGACCAAATACACTGCTCAAAATTAGGAACTAGTATTTTGGCCAAAAATATAAAATACCCTGAACGAACATCTGTGGCCCACACTCGGAATGATTGTAATGATAAAACGTCCTCTAATGCAGCTTTAAACTTTTCTTCAACCCAAGTGCACATTCCGGTGCAGCACAAACCATGTCTTATTTCTCAGACTGAGACTTATGATGAACTGTTTCCTTCCTTACCTGTTAAGCAGTCTCCACAGTGCAGATCTACAGACACCCTTAAATAATAGTGCTAGCCCCAGATGTCCTGTAGGACCTAATACGTGCCAATCCTCACTGTACACTAACGTACATCCTGACCCGCCCCCTGGAATCAGATGTCTCTCCAATCCTGCAGGCACCAGGCTTTCATGATGTCACTCCAGCAGAGACGGTTCCCTACCCTATCACATGCCAGTACAACCCAGTGAGTACATCTTGAAAAAAAGTCAGTGCCAAGAAATATAAATTCCCTTATACCAAATACAATGTCAGCCAGTCGTAATCCGTGGTTAAACAAAGGTGGCCTCCGAATAGGTCACCTAAACATTTATCATTTGTTAGGCAAATTACCTGAGCTATCAGTTAGGATTAGCAGCCAGTTTCATCTTTTTGGAATTACCGAAAGTCGGCTAAACAATAAAATCACTAATAATGAAATTAAAATCAATGGCTTCAACGTTATTCCCAAAGACGCAGTGAGAAAACTAGAAACAGGTATAACTGTTTATATCTCAAACTGTATCAATTATTCCCATAGAAATGACCTAGAATCCTTAGAAGTAGAGTGTGTCTGGCTGGAAGTCAAGCCGTCAAACCAGCAATCGCTTTTCATTGGTTACCTATATCGAAATCCGTGTGCAGGTAACAATTGGTATGATGACTTCACTTCTATGCTGGATAGAGTGTTTAGCTTAGGAAAAGAAATTATTCTTCTAGGAGATTTCAACATTGATGCAAAGAAACTAAACCAAACATGGCGAGATATCATCCTATCCTATAACTTTAAACAACTAATCAACCGGCCCACGAGAGTGACAGAAACCACCTCAACTATACTAGATCACATCTATGTGTCTTGTCCAACAAATATTATTGAATGTACTGTTCCTGCTAGTGCAGTCAGCGACCATTATCCCGTATGCATTACCTGGTCAAAAGGTAAATTTAGAGCTCCTAAAAATAAGCATTTGACTATTAAATTTAGATGTTTCAAAACCTTTAATCCGGATTTATTTTTACAAGACTTGCAAAATGTACAGCTCAATCATGTTTATCAACTTCCTGAACCTGACGACGCTATAGCCTACTGGACTAAGGCAGTCTACGGTGTTTTTGATAAACATGTACCAGTTAAGGAAGTTAGAGTAAAAAGCCAAACTAAATCACCGTGGATAACTAGTGCAGTTCTAGAAATTATGAGAGAGCGGGATACGGCACATAAAAATAAAAACTTTACTGCTTATCGCGAATTAAGAAATAAAGTGCAATATGAAATTCGTAAAGTGAAGAGAAAGACCACTTTAATAGATTAATTAAAGATAAAACAAACAGTGCCGATATCTGGAAGGCTATTAAATACGCTAACCAATAAGAAAACATTGTTCAGATCAGGCATACCTACGCTAACATGTGAAACGTTCAGTTCCCTTCTTCAAATCAGAAATTGAGTATTTTAAAGTCATCAATACCAGATTCACAGTGTGACTTAAGCCTACTAGCATCATTCTGTGAGGAAAAATGCACTACGACTATTTCTCCAGAGATCCCACTTCTGTCTGTTGCTGAAGTGTATAAATATCTCTCCAACCTCAAGCAAACTCCTCTGGCTTAGATGGAATCAGTAATCGAATTCTTCGATGTGCTGCACCAGTCATTAGTGACTCTCTAACATTTATATATAATCAGTGCCTTTCTAAGAACTACTTTTCATCAGCATTTAAAATTGCTAAAGTGTATCCTCTACTCAAACCTGGCTCAGCTGACAACAGTTCTCTTGGCAGTTATAGACCCATTTCTCTACTGTCCTCGCTATCCAAACCATTGGAGAAACACATACATAAAATAACATTTCAGCATTTATATAACAACAATCTGATAGCTGATAGCCAATCAGGGTTCAGGCCTATGCACTCTTGCCATACTGCAATTACAAAAATGACAGACAACTGGCACTTTAACATCAACAAAGGCAAAATTTGTGGTGCAGTTTTTGTAAAAAAAAAAGTAAAGGACCCTTTCCACGCCTTTAGGCGTATAGGGCATATAGGGCTAGACCTATATTTTTTATAGACCAACGGCACAAGATGGGTGATGTGGTCAGCATCACGCCGGCCGCCTCTACTTCCCGGGATTGCACCCGGTACCCACTCAAGGCTGGGTCGACCTGGGAGCCAAGGTCATTTTTGAAGAAAAGTCCGTCTCCGCCAGGGAGCGAACCCACGACCTTCCGATCCGCAGCGCACGTCTAGCCGCTCTGCCACGGCGACTTGCAGTTTTTGTAGACTTTAAGAAAGCCTTCGATATGGTTGATCATGATATTCTAATTATTAAATTAAAAATATTAAAAACTAACGATAATTTAGTCAAAATAATGCGGTCATTTTTATCTGATAGACAGCAAGTAGTATCCTTCAACAACCGCCTGTCAGAATCCACTCATTTAAATATAGGCGTGCCACAGGGGTCGATTCTATGTCCATTACTATTTTCCACGTATATTAATGACCTTCCATTACATCTTAGTATAACATGCGATTTATTTGCTGATGACTGTACAATATATACTAGTAATGAGAATCGTAATGAGTTAGAAAGATCTTTACAGAAAGAAGTACACAATCTTTGTAAATGGAGCAACAGCAATCGCATGCAAATTAACATAAATAAAACGAAGTCTATGCTTATAACAACCAAACAAAAGTTGCAAACATTAGTACTGCACAAGCCGACACTCGAGCTCTACATTGATAAATTACCTATTGTTAATGTAATGGAACACAAAACTTTAGGCCTTACAATTGACAACCATTTAACCTGGAATTCTCATGTTTCTGTGATAACTAAGAAAATAGCACAAAAAGTTTATCAGCTTGCAAAAATTCAGCACTTTCTAGACGAAGATGCAAGAAAAGTATTTTACGCGTCTTACATCCAAACACATGTCGACTATTGTTCCACAGTTTGGGATGGTTGCGCCAAATTCAATGTTCAAAGACTAAGTTCTCTTCAAAATCGTGCTTTACGCCTGGTTTCAGATAATAAACATATCGTAAAAAATAATCTCTATAAACATCTAAGACTATTGCCATTTAGCAAATGTTTAATTTTCAACAAGGCCAAATTTATTCATAAAATTTTATCTCAAAATACTCCAAACTACCTTTTCCGATTAATTAAATCAAATCCTATAAATAGCAAGCGACTAAATTTATTACATTTACCTAAACCTAGAATAGATTTATATAAAACAAGTTTAGCGTACTCCGCTGCTCATTTGTGGAACCAACTTCCACTAGACCTGAAAAATTCTAAAAGTCCCTATTCATTCAACCGTAAACTTTTTCAATTCATACTTACAAGCGATTATATGCCACCTTGAATGTAATGTAACCCATATTGCATAATCAATTTATTATTAAACAAGGTGTGTATGGTATGTATGTTTGCGCGCGCACGTGTGCTTGATATGTATGTATGTGTAGGCGTGTTTGTATACATTTGACTTTGAGTATGTTGTTTGTCTGCTTGTGTATCTGCGTGTGTGTCTGCGAATGTATGTGTCTGTGTCCTTGTGTATGTGCGAATGTGTGTGTGTTCGCGCGTATGTCCACGTGTATGTTTCAGTGTGAACTAGTTTCTTTTTCTGTATATTTGATGTGACTGTGTGTAAATCTTCGTTTGTGTCTGTGTCTGTCCCCGTATGTGTTTGTCTTCATGTTTGCCTGTGTATGTTTATGTGTTTTGTCTGCGGGTGTGTCTATGAGGCTGTGTGTATGTATCTCTGTGTGTGGGTGTCTGTATGTCTGTATGTGTCAGAATGTGTCTGTCTGTCTGTGCATGTCTATGTGTGTTTCTCTGTGTGTGTTGTGTGTGCCCCTTTGTTGTCTGTATGTGTCTGCATGTCAGAGTATATGTCTGTGCGTGCTGAATATATGTGTCTGCGTGTGTGTTTCTATGTGTTTGTATGTATATGCATTTCTGCGTGTTTGTCTCTGTGGGTGTCAGAATGTGTTTGTCTGCCTGTTTGTCTGTATTTGTGTGTGTGTGTGTTTGACTGCGTGTGTGTCTATGTGGCTGTATGTATGTTTATGCATGTTTGCGTATGTGTGGTGTGTGTGTCAGTGTGTGAGCACGAATGTAAATATGTGTGCTGTGTGTTTCCCTGTGTGTGTTTATATGTAAGTGTCTGTGTGTGCGTCTGTATTTTTGTCTGAGTGTTTGTGAATCTGTGGGAGTGTCCGTGTGTGCATGTATGTGTCTCCATGCATGACTGGATTTATGACTGTATGTGTGTATGCCTGTATTATGTATGAATGTATGTATGTATGCCTGTATGTTTGTATCTATGTATGTATGTTTGTGTGTACGTATGCCTGTGTGTATGTGTGTATACATGTTTGTTTATATGTATCTGTGTATGTAATGTATGCATGCATGTCTGTGTGTGTAAGTGAGTGGGCGAGCGTGTGTATGCGGGTGTATGTATGCACGCGCGGGTTTTTGCATGCACTTTACAACTCATGCTTTTGTGTTCTTTTATAATATTCATAATATGCATAACATCATATGATCATAACATGCTTTATTAGTAAAATACAACTGCTGTGCGAAAGATGGTTGACTGGAAGGGCTGAATGTAAGAAAGGGCCTGCGTACCCAATTTGTGACCCTTTGAAAATAAAGTTCGTTCGTTCGTTCGTTCGTTCGTTCGACCACCTTGACCATAGACACATTGCTGTTGTAGAGTTTCTCTGATGCTATCTTTCCTTCTTGTTGTTTATTTACCATGGCCCTATGTTAGTCTCCTTTTTTCCTGTACGCCTTCTAAAATTACCGCATTGTGAGTTTCCTAGTACTGAAAGAGTTATGGAAGAAAATTCTGTACAAGGCATGAACAGGCTTAAAATATTCAGTTAACATGAACAAAATTGTGGTCCAGGAGGGATGTACATGTATTATAATTACAGTGTATTAGTCCCTGGTTAGTACAAATTATTTAACATAAACTATGTTTCTGTCCCTTGGACCTCATGTTAGCAAGGTTTTACTGTAAATGATCATTATAAATTAAAATTACAGACAACCAGGTTGTAATGTGCTCATCTAGGGGCATGTATTGTTTACATTGCTTTCAGAGGAAAAGTGAGTTGAAACGACACAGCATGAACGAATATTGAGTTCTTTGCTTTTATTCGTTGAATCGCCAGTTATCGCAAACATACATTCATGCTTCCTCGTGCTCGACTTGCTTGGCTGAATCTAGCGACCTGGACGGACTTCCCACACACTACAGGAATTTATCAGCGCCTCTCGAACCATCCATCTATACTTCATGGACTCTGATATCTGACATTACGACGTATGGAAAAACATTCAGTCCTCCTATTGAAATATAACGTTCACTTGACAAATCATTTATTCTTCTCAGGCGTTCATTCACGCGTCCTCTCTCAGTCAGGGCAGAACTTCAACTGTCTTACTTCAGTCTCTCGGTTCACGTCTTCCGTTCACGTCTCATGCTTTTCTTGTGTCTCTCACTTTGTTTACCATGAGACACACGAGACTCACTTCTCCCGTTTTTCTCTTCTCTCACGGGTCCTCCGACCTTTTTCTCCCCATTGGGAACTCTCTGGGGTTTCCCCGGGAATTCACAACATTACACAGGTAGTGTGGAGTTGCATGATCAAACAGTTTAAATACCAGTTGTAGGACACAGTAAGCTAATGATGACAATAATTGTGATAACACCAAAACATTCATATAATTATCAAGCAAACTGTGTGCACACAAGATAAAATGAAACAAAAAGACTTACCACATCTTCTTCCAAAAACTCTGGCCTGATGAAATCTGGTGCTTCGTAAAGTTCTTCTTCTGAATCTGACAGCATTGCTGAGCAAATAAATAAAACAGAATAGAAAAATATTACAAATCATGCGCTACAGGACCCCAAAAAAGTTTCAGTATAAGTACTATAAGCACCTGACCTAGTGATTATTCCTGAAAGTAAGATAAGCATACAAAGGAGTAAAGGACCCTTTTCTACATCATTAGGCATATTGGGCATATGGTAGTCTCATGTTTTTCAGACCAATGGGCACTCTGTAGGTGGTTAACATGTCAGCCAGCTTAACTTCCCAGGACATTACCCACTTATGGCTGGGTCAAACTGGCAGCCAAGCTAACTTTAAAAAAAAATCAAACTCGCTGTGGATTTGAAAGTACAACCTTTAAATCTCATGCAGATATAACAGAACAGTTAAAGCAGTCAGTCCTACAGTTAATAAGTGTTACATTACTATTGTGTTATTAGTACTACAATTCATAATTACAATAAATTATGGAAATTTAATTTTAAACAAACCTCAGGTTTCTTTCTTCAGCTGTCTCATTTGAGCTTTTGAAAATAAAAAGTCAAAGCCAAAAGCAAAAGTTCGACTTGACCAAAGTCAGGCACAAGAGGCTCAAATGATTCTTATTTCCTTGATTTCTATTACACAAATCATCATCATCAGGTGCCTTGCCGACTGGCCAATAGCACAAATTTGGGCTCTCCTCTACTACAGCGGCATTATGGCGGCAAAATACCCTAACAGGGCCTAAGTCCTATAAAAAATCTGGACTTGTTAGACTTCCTGCCGAGGAACAAATCATGGCAAAACTAGGATCGGCTCTGAATGAAACAAATGCTCTAACAGGGTCTAAGCGATATGTTAATTGTGGACCTGTTACTGTGACTATCCCCAACGCCGCTAGGCACGGTGTGGTATGGGGGGGGGGGTGTTTAAATAGATGGCTGGGACTCACAAGCAGCAGCTATCGCATCTCCTGCAACTTCCTGAAATTTATTTGCTTGTGAGTCCTAGTTATCTAGTTTAGATCCCCATCCGTGCCGTGCGTAGCGGCACGGTGGATACTGTCGGCGATGAGTTTAACCGCATTTTGCGCATGCCAAAAAGTGTAAGGACAACAACAACGCTGATCTACGTCGGAGTGCGTGGTCTTCCCGCCATGTCGCTATTATCGTCTGTAATGTTGTGTGTCTCGAAACTGTCAATGGTCACTACTATCGTCTGCTAGTATCGTCTGAACATCAAAGAAGATTGGCTAATAAACAGCACCCTTTTACAGAAGCTGAAATATTTTAGTCATATCAAGCGCCACGACGGATTGGAAAAAATTATAGCAGAAGGCACGGTACTAGGAAGGAGGGGCAGAGGCCGACCGACACGAAGATGGGCACAGGATATAAGTGACTCCTTGAGTGTGAAAGTTTATGATGAGGGAGAACTGGCAAGAGACCCGAGTTTATTTCAGGCAGACTGTGATGAGAGCGATCTACAAAAGACCTGCTCCATGATGATGATAAGTATCGTCTGCTGAAACGCTCGAAATTGTCAACGGTCGCTATTATCTCCGCATTGTTACGTCTCTTGAAATTGTCAAATAATCCTAGTTTTGTCGCGATTTGTTCGTCGCATGATGTTTGCATTTTACACACGACTGAGGCCCGGGTATTTTTGTTTTTGTTTTTTGGCCGGGGTAGAAGTTCGGAGGAGAGCCCAAATTTGTTACACAAAAAGTGCTAAATAACAGATGCTGCAGTAGGCTGGGAGACTAGACTTATCATATACTTCAGTAACAATTTGCTTGGAGAAAATAATTACATTAGTTTGTCGGTTTCGGGTTATGTCCGATGTGTAACGAAGATGATCTACAAAATGAACAATGAATGAACTGTTTTCAAAACCGCTCCAATGTTTTGCTTTCGTTTTAAACCGGAAACACTGACACTCCGTGCAGAATAACTGAATGGCGATCACTCTTCTCACATGTGACGTAAATGTCTCTTTAAAATAAACAGGCACTGGCTGTCGGTCCGAAGGTGACGGGTTCGAATCAAACTGCAGTCAAAGTGATTGTTTTTTTTTTTTTAATGACTTTGGTTCCCAGTTCGACGCAGCCTAAAATGGGTATTAGGTACAGTTATGGTAAGTAAAGGCGGCCCGGATAATGTTGACTACATCATCAATCGAATGAATACATAAATCAAGAAAGAAGTGATATCAATGCACTTCGGACATTCCGACAGGTGCTCTGTCCCCTTCTCCAGTAGCCAACAAAGAGTTGACATGCTAACAGTAATTAAAAAAAAAACGGCCCCTGCACTAACGAAGTCAGAAAATGTTAAATTAAGAATCCACATCATAGAACTCATGACACTCCCATAAGCGCTCAGTCCCCGTCTTCAGAAGCAGACAAAAAGTTCTAATTCCTGTGGTACAAGTAACTGTCTAATTGTATATCTGTCCCGCCTTTCCCTTGAGTGTTGAGAATCGGCCAGATCCCTTGGTAACTCCTCGCAGCGCCATTCTCCTAAAACATTAATGATCTATTTGCGCTTCCACACTGTTAACTCCTCCCAGAGGGCCCTCACAACATCCAGCTTGTCATATATCATTTCACCACCAAAGTGGTGCAGAACCGGCAAGTCTAAATGCCTTCTCATTTCCTAACACACCGGCATTACCTGGAAGGAATATCCAAAGGATAAGGCTCTGCACGGAGCATACCTGTCTCAGCCTTTTCCAACATACTCTGTGAGTCAGTTACAATCATGGCATGTTTGTACAGCTGATTCTCAAGCCAGCGGAATGCAGCTGTGACTGCCTCCACCTCCATTCTCAAACTAGATGTTGTGATATCATATGTCAGGTTTTGCTGCACCAAGCTTTTGCTATGAACGCTCATGCACTTCGTCTGCCTCTCATCACAGAGCCATCTGTATATAAAATAATATTACTTGGGCGGGAATTGTTCTGAATCATTTGTTGAATTTTAGATTCTGCAGCGCCAGCTGGCCTGTCCCTGCACTGGCGACCCTAAGTGATAAGAACCCTACACAAGTCTGAAACTTGCTTAGACATTCTGACTCACTCCTCACCTCGCACAAAGTTATCAAGCCTGCCCACAAGTCTAAATGTGTCTTCAGCTTGCGCCATCCAAGACCTTCCTCTTTTCAGCCTGTGGTCCATAACTCTACCCAGGGCATCATGCAGCTACTCCGAGATATGACTTTGCCTGCATAACTTTGAGCCTATCTGCAATAGTAGTCAGTTCTACTTCTTCTTTGCGTTCACCGGCTGTAAACTCCATCGGAACGTTCTGGTTGTTTGTCCACTTCTGGACTGCAGTCCTCCTGTTCCAGATCCTGAGTTTTGCATGTGCATCCTTTGACAGATCTGACTAATTTGAATGTAGACTAATGGTTCCTTGCCTATCAGGCAGATGCACTCCGACTTCGAAGGAAGCTCCCAATTAGTCGACTCTTACGACATGCTGTTGGGTAGGCAGTGGGGCTAGTCTTCTTCTTCTTCTTTCGTTCGCCTGAAATAAGTTGTCTTATTCAGCAATTTTGTATCTTTTATAAATGTCACTGTCGTTGTTAGATCATTCAGTGGTCCATAGCGTTTACGTTCCACTGTTGTTCTTTCCGGCCAAAAGAGTACATGCTCTGTTGTCTGGGGCATCATTCCTCATGTGCACATGGCTGATACGCCTATCTTGAATTCTGTGTACACATGGTTACATAATCGGCTGTGCCCTGTTCTGAGGCGGATGATGATGACTTGTTCTGATCTGTCCAAAATAAAATATTCGTCTTGTGCTGGGGCTGGTGGTTTCCTAATCGATTTAATTATCCTTTTATTCTGGTGGTATGCGACAGATACATCCGGCTGCACTTTTGTTGCACATTTTCCTGCCAGTTGATCAGCTTTCTCATTTCCAGGTACTCCACAATGGGACAGTATCCATTGCATTACGACTCTTCGATGAAGGCTGAGTTGTGTCAGCAGTGTTTGCAATTCTGGTAGCTTCCTAGACTGGAGTGCTGCAAGTACGAATTTTGCATCTGTCAGCATTACCACATACTGTGAGCCAAGATTGGTATTTAGCAGTTTCACTGTTGCTATCTTGATATTCTTAGGTTCTGCATCATAGTTGTGGCAGTACTTCCCGGTTGGTACGCTGTTCTTGTGGGTATTCTTTATCAATAAAACTGAGGGTGTCCATTCTACGTTGTATACTATCTTGCTCTTTCTTGTCAAATATTTCTTTCACATTTGTCTGGATGTGTACTGTTTTTTTGCATTTTTCTGTCCATTGGGTTTGTTCTTGAATACTTTCAAGTGGACAATCAATTTCTGGAAGGTCAGTTGTTTGTCTACATATTCTTTTTTGCTTGGTGTATAAAGCTGCTTCTTTTAAACCGTCCCAAGGCTAGGTTCTGAAATATATTTTTCACGGGGTAAATCTGGCATACTAAGGAACTTTTCAGCTTGTATTTGCAGTTTTGTATCTCTGCGTTCTCTCAGTGGCTGTGTTTTCCCAGCTTTCTCCATTTCTAATATAGGGGTTGATTTCATCCCTCCTGTGATGACTCTGAGCGCTTGATTTTTTACTTTGTCAAACTCCTTTAGTGTGGTACTAGATGCTGAACACCATACAGTTGACCCATATTCCAAGTGTGGTTGTATGCTCTGCTTGTATACTTTATTGAGTATTCTCCAAATGGCTCCCCATGTGATTTCACTTAGTTTTATTAGTATGGCTGTCTTCCTCCTGGCTTTTGTTGCTGCCTTGTTGATATGTTTTCTCCGTGTCAACCTGTCATCAAATGTGACTCCGAGGTAAGTGGGCTCTTTGTCATCTCTTATGGCAATTCCGTTTATTTTGTTGATGCCTGTTTTTTGCTTTTGGGGACACACCATCAATTCGCCCATGCCTCAAGTGCATATGTAGCCCGCTGTAGTGTTCTTATGGCTATCGTTGCATGTTCATTGGTGCACAATAGTACCAGGTCGTCGGCATACATTGCCATTTTGATTC